CAATTACTCACATAGTTCATTTTAGTCATTATTTCTTTATAGATTAACTAAACAGTTCTATCATTCTAATCTATTCAAAGAATAAAATAAATGATCTTCGAGATGAGCAGTATTTGTAAAAGACCAATCAACCACAGAGTGACATATAAAGGATGACCATAACCGTGGCCATCACCATATTGACAAGAAGATACAAGTCGAGAGGATACAAGTGGATCTTAACTGGAGACTGCCAAAGACCTATGTGGTCCGATAGGCCGTCATCCAAGTTAGATTCCAATCAAGATTCAATAAATTTCAAGTCCATTTACAATAGTTTTCAATTCCGTTAACAATTACCCGTCCCTCCAAGTGGCCACTACAATCAAGTACCCGTAGCTCGTGCACGCCTACTAAAGCTATCCATAGTCTATCCATACGTCTGTGCCCAATGCCGACCCGTTGGATTCGATCTATGGTAGCGGGGCCCCGAGACTGGTGTGATAATGTACACATCCAAGTCTCAATAATTTCATGGCAATTCATGCACAAGTATGTTTTACAAAACAGATCATGACAGTAGCAATTCTCGGTGTGATAAAGTACACAACCGAATAGAAGGGCAAGCAACTCAATTCAATTAACACATAAACAAGTAATACGATTACAATCATGTATCACATGTTCAAGTAGAAGCACCAAGCTTGCACTTCAATCAAGTAAAAGCACAGAAGCACTCAACAGTCATGCACCGAGAGGGGGAGACAAGGTTGTAATAGAGCGTGAGAGGAGATACTCACCTTGTTGCCTTTTATTCATTACAATCCTTCTCCAAATCTGTTAATAGGGTATTTAGAATCATTATCACTTAATTGTATTCCAAAGCTAACTAGTAGTATTCATATGCAATGGTTTTCCTTTTATGACGCTAATGTCAATGATGCATTTTTCTATTTTATTTCCTCCAAAGACTTTAGATGTTATTCTTAAAAGCTAAAGTTCTAGGCTAAGATTTTGTTCATCAGAGAATGAAAACCAAGCAAACTTCATTTGAAAAGAGTAGTTGGGATAAGGAAACCAAATTCTGAAATTTCAGCGAAGGACTACTAAGGCTTCTATTTCTGAGCATGGTTTTTGGTCAGAAGAAGGATCCATTTCATGAGCCGTAAAAACTATTATAAACTAGGTTTGTTAAGGAAAAGTTCTATGAAAAGAAATCAAAGAAGTTCCAAATTCAGGAGAAAGATGTTCTCAAAAACAGTACTTCAAAGCTGATGTTTCTGCAATATTTTTAGATTCATTAATCAAGTTCAAATCCACTTTTTTTTGGCAATCAGTAGCTTTATTTTACAATCCGTAAAGTCTGTAATAAAATCCAATAAATATAGAAGACACTCATCAGAAGAATTTCCATAAAACAATTTAGTCAAGAGGAGAAACGAATCTCCAAAAGCAGCAGCACAACACAGAATTTTAGAAAATGGTGATCACGTTCAAATCCTGTTTCCGGACAATCTACAAATCCGTTTTTTAATCCGTAAAAACTGAGTAAAACTTCACTAAATGTAGAAGATTTTCATATAAAGAAAACCTGAAAAAGAGTTGCAGAGCTAGGATAAAACGGCCTGCAAACAGGGAGCCACAAATCTGATATTTCTGCATTTTCTGAAAATAAGCAATAATCCATTTTGAAATAAAATTAGCATTACTAACACTTCTACATAGCATGCGACTCATGAATGCAAGGACTAATTAGCTAAGCACATGTTATGATCACCAATCATTTCATAAACCTAAATCAATGGATTTGGCTAAAGACTTTTAGGTAAGGTTACCTGTTTTACGAATCATTTGTCTTATTGCCCTTGGGTGCTAACCCCTTCCAAGCATGAATTGAATCCACACAAACATGCTAAATCCCTCTTGTTCCTCTTTTCCCTCCTTTCTTCGAATCCCCCTCTAACTCTCTCCTACACTCAATTTCTTTCTTCCCCATCTTTATCTTTCTAAAAGGGTTGTAAGGGTGATAGAAGATGGAAAAGGAAGAATTTATACAGATTGATGTGGTCGGGGTTACTGGCAGGCCGGTGGTTTGTACTATGAAGGAGGAGGGATGATGATGTTTGGCAGTGAGCTTCAGGAATTCTAAGAAAGGGATGGAAGTGTATTTCCCTTGAAGTGTTGCAGAAAACAAAAAAATGAAAGAAGGGGCTGGTTCTAGTTCGACAGACTTGAGGGAGGAAGAACTTGAGAGTTGTGAGCCAATTGTGATAGGTTTCAAGGGAGGTGGATGTCGGTTAGGCAGAATTTTTGTGAGGAAGTTTCCAAGTTTTTTTTATTTAATTTTTTTTTTTTTAGAAGTTTACATCAAGGGAGGTGGTTATGTGTGATGTGTTGGCACCCGGACGAGCGAGGGAAGTGGTGACTTGCATCTCTTATTTCTAATCCACAATCCTTAATAGTTTTATTAATCTTTCAAGCTTTAGCACATGACTCACATTTAATTAAAACTTCATCTATCCCTCTAATTAACTACTTCAATAAGTAAAGATTGTCACTTACTTTTAAATGTTTTGTTCTTAGTTAAAATTATGTATACTTTATAGTTATCAGTTAACCGTAACCTAGGAACTAATTCCACCATTTAGACTACTATAAAGGTGATCGGGAAAAGTGGCCTTATAGATTTGGGTCCGGCTAGACAGATCCTTGGGATGAAAATTTCTCATGACAGACAGAATGAGAAACTTTGGGTATCTCAAGAGAAGTATATGGAAAAGGTTCTTGATAGGTTTAACATGAGCGGTGCTATAAAGAAGTATCGACTCCACTTACGGAACATTTTAAGCTAAGCAAAATGCAGTGTCCTAAAAGTGAGAAAGATAAGGAAGAGATGAAAAAGGTTCCTTATGCTTCAGCAGTTGGCAGCCTGATGTATGTGATGGTTTGCACAAGGCCAGACCTAGCTCATGCAGTTGGTGTTGTTAGTCGGTTTCTCTCCAATCCTCGTAAGGAGCATTGGAATTCTGTGAAATGGATTCTCAGGTATCTTAGGGGTACTTCTAGATTGAGTCTTTACTTTGGCAATGGGAAGACCATGTTGGATGGATATACAGATGCTGACATGGCGGGTGACCTTGATGGTCGGAAGTCTACTTCTGGTTACTTGATGACTTATGGAGGGGGAGCAGTTTCATGGCAGAATAGGTTGCAGAAGTGTGTTGCTTTATCTACTACAGAGGCAGAGTTTATCGCAGCTACTGAATCTTGTAAGGAAGCACTTTTCTTGCAGAAGTTTCTACAAGAGCTTGGCATGAAGCAAGAGAGGTATGTGATGTATTGTGAAAGCCAGAGCGCTATTCACTTGGCAAAAAATTTCACATTCTATTCGCAGTCTAAACATATTGATGTGAGATATTATTGGATTCGGGATGTATTGGAGTCCAAGGCGTTGTTTCTTGAGAATGTTCATACAGATGACAACGGTACCGATATATTGACAAAAACTGTGAGTAGAGACAAACTCTTGTTTTGTAGACAGGAAGCCGGTTTGGTTTTACCCCCCAATTGAGGTGAAGGGGGAGATTGTTGGGCCCAGTTTCTCTTCAATTGGGCCAACGAGAAAGGAAATAAAACCAAGCCAAGTTGGTTTTGGTTTTTGACAGGGTTAACAAAACCCTCTATAGTTGGGTTTTGGTTTTTGGTTCTTTTTTGCTTTATATAAAGCAAGGTAGCTGCACGAATTGGTGCAAGAGTTTGGTCATGTTTTCCAGCCAAGAAGAGAAGAAAAGTTTGGACAGTCGTGCATTGTTTTTTGCACGAGAGAAAAAAAAAAAAGAAAACTAGGGTTTAGTTTTCGGTTTAACTCTCTTTTGGTGAGATCCTTCCAATCCTATTTTGTGGTTTAGGTGTGTGTGGAAGAGTATTGTTGTAATCCACCTTTGGGTGAAGTCCTGTGTATCCACTGGTTGGTGAAGACTGTTTTCCATTATTGTGATAGTAGAGATTTGACTGTGGTTACAGTCCCGTAATTTTTTTCGATTTGTGTTTTCATGTAAATTCGTGTGCCTCCTTTATTTTATCAGTTCTTGAATTATTTTGTTTGTTTGGTTGTCCTATTTTATTGGTAGTAGGAAAAAAGATTTTCTTTGGGTTCGCTTCCGTAGTGTGTTGTGTTTATGCCCTTTCCGCCACAACATCTAAAACCTTTGTTTTAATTTTTTATTTTTTGTTAATAATTTAGTTAATGAGTAACACATAAGAAATTTAACTTTAGGCAGGGAATTGAATGATAGCTTGGGGTAGATTTTTAAAATTTAAAAAAAAAAAATTAACTTTAGGCAAGAAAATATTTAATGAGGAGAAGTCACGTGTCTTTAAGTGGTCGTTGATTTAAATAGGCATATAAAATTTTCAAAAAAAAAAAGGCATATAAAATGTAATTTAGAGGAACTTCAGTATATATAACAACATTGCTGTCAATGGGGTCAAATTAAAGCACCCCAACAATAGTACAGTACTGTAGTATTGGTTGTTTGATTCAGGTCTAAAGAATAGAATTTAAGGATGTTTGGTTTGATCACTTCATGACGTCATATTCTTATCATTGTTTTCCATGATATTGTGTTCCATCCATTGGTTCTAATTGTGTTCCAGTATGATCTATAATTTTGGTTGTAAGAACAATTTTATTCAGAAATAGGAGCACCCTGACAGTAGTGTTTCTGATTTTCCTAAATTCAATTTCAAGGCTGTCTGATTTTCATCTCTTGAATACAGCATATTTAGTTTTGTTAGCAAATAATTTGGAATCCCACATAGATTAAACAAAAAAAAAACAAAAAAAAAAGCAGTGTTGAGAATGCTATTTTGTATTGACACTGAAAGTATTGTTGCTTTACAGACCTGCTGCTATAAAGTTTGAGGTAGAATAATTTCCAAGCTCTATTTGTATCTGGAAAAAAAAAAAAAATCTTTGCCTGAAACTCCACAGCAACTATGGAGTTAGATTCTTTTTTCACTTATGAGTTCACATTTCCAGAGCGTAACCAGTATTCTTTTACGAGCTGACCGAATAGTGAACCCTCTTCATTTATGAGCTTCATAGGTCTGTCATATTCCACCACTTTCCCTGCAGTTTAAGAGTTGGCAAAGCTTAATGATCTTATGTTTGTTAGGTTTGAATTTTGCTTTAGTAATTATGGATTGAAGTTTCAAGAGTTCGTACCGTCTCTTAATGATAAAACCATGTTACAATCCATGACTGTAGGTATCCTGTGAGCTACTGTGATCACAGTGACTTCTGCAAATTCTCTTCTTATGGTCTTTTGGATTAGGGAGTCTGTTGCATTGTCTATGGATGCCGTGGCTTCGTCGAGGATTAGTATTTTCCTTCTCTTCAACAATGCTCTTCCCAAGCACAACAGTTGGCGTTGTCCCATGCTCCAGTTTGATCCATCTTGTGTAACTGTGTCCATGGTAGAACCATCAAGTCATTTTAATGGTTATAATTCTGGCGAGTATATGGTATTTTAAGGTAGTCTTACCTAAGGAGTCCAAGCCCTGTTCTTTCTTCTGAACAACATCTTGAAGCTGGCATTTATTCAGAACCTGCAAAAGATAATGAAGTTGGAAATGATATGAAGTCATGGTTTATCATGATTTGATTATTTGTTAGTACTTTTCTTTCATATGACTTGTTTCTTTCGGCATTGCACAGATATCTTACCTCCCATATTTCTTGATCACTGTGTTCTGTTAAGGGATCTAGATTGTATCTGATTGACCCTCCAAACAATGTTGGCTCTTGAGGTATGATTGACAGATTGGACCTGAGATCATGGATTCCGATTCCTGAGATGTCTAGATCATCAATAAGTATCTCCCCTTCTGTTGGCTCCACCAGGCGAAACAATGCGCTGATCAGTGTTGATTTCCCGCTCCCTGTCCGGCCAACTATTCCTACTTTGGAACCTTCTTCAAATGTACATGTAATGCCTTGGAGAACTAATGGAGCATCTGGCCGGTATCTTACCTTTAAGTTTTCAGGCAAAAAAAGTTCACATTACAAGTGCTAAAGAATGCGAGATTAGTAAGAGTTACAACTTTGAACTTTACCTTTAAATCGTGAATCTCTACTTTACCAAAGCGAGGCCAATCAGAAGGGGGCCGATTTGCTAGCACGATTTCTGGAGCTTCACTAGGAATGTGCATGTATTGTTCTAGCCGTTCCACTGAGATGATGTAGTTTTCTAGTATGCACATGTTATTGACAGCACCAACAAGGAATATATTCAGTGAAAGAGCATATGATAGAGCCATGCCAATGTATCCTGCATTAGGAAAAAGTTGTTAAAAACTAGCCGAAGAACAACTCTCTAAAGCTTTTGATAAACTCTGGCCACAATTTTTGGCTTGAAAATGCATCCATACTTAAATATACTTCAAAAAAGATATGCGCGATTGATGACCTGATTCAGAAGTTTTGAAAGGTAGCAAGGTGAGGGCAAGCGCTGAGGAGGAAAGAATGAAAGCGCACAGAATTTCTAGACGTTGAATGAGCCACTCATTTGCAGAAAATCCATGAAAGGATGAACTTGCATTCTTGTCGATAAGCTTCAAGCTCTCTGTAAAGAATCTTTGTTCCTCACCAAAAGCTCTAACGGTCATGGCTCCTGCTATGGATTCAGAGAAGTAGCTAGCGACTGAAGATTTGTTTGTGCCTTGGATTCTTATTAGCTGTTTTGCAGAAGCAAAGTAGAATAGCTGCAACAAAAGAGGAATGATAGATTATCATTTCATGGAAACATCCTTTTGCATACTATTTGGCACTTTTTGTTGAAGAAAACTAGCCAAAATGATTTATACCTGTAAGATTATGGTAACAAAAACTGTTGGTAAAATGACTAACAAGCTAGGCCAGGTAAGAGTAGCCAAAATTCCTAAGCTGAACAATGTGGTCAATATCGATGTCATAGCCATGCTGAATCTCATTGACATGTCAAGATCTACAATACTCAGATCAGAAGACACCTGCAGTAAACAAGAAGACAAAAAAAAAAAAAAAAAGAAAAAAGAAAACAGGACTTCTGTTAAGTGAGTGAATATTTTCCAGCAATTGTATTTAAAATTGCTTCTTAGTTTGATTCTTACCCTACTAAGAATTCTTCCAATTGGTGTTGCATCAAAATATGACATTGGTGCTCGAAAAATGGAAGCCATGAATTCTGAGAAGATGGATTTTGATGCCTCTAGACTTAAAAGGAAAAATACACAAGACCTTAGAAGCAAGGACAATGCCATACTGCCTCCTATGAAGGTGTAAACTAGAATGATTTTCAAATAACTAAGCTTGGAATCTGTCAAAGTAGCAGCTAACCAAAGATTTTGAAATAATTGGCCTATCATGTATATGATGTGGGATACTATGCCCAAAGAGAGGAACAAGAACCCCTTGTTATGTTTTAGATACTGTAGGTATGGTTTAAGCCCAGTGTATCCTGATTCGCATTCTTCTTCTTTAATTAACTGCTCTCCAGTTGGTAGTGCTAGTTGCTTCTCAGAACAGATCCTCTCAATAACATCATGAGAAATTTTCTGCATCTTTTGAGGACCTTGTTCTGCATTCAACTCCCCTTTAGATGCTTCGCCATGTGCATGGACAAGGTCACGAAATTCTTGACTCGATTGCAGCAATTGCTCAGGGGTGGCTGATTTTAAGATGGTCCCTTTTGACATTAACTGGCAACATCCAAAAGCATAAAGGAGGGAAAAACTGGTCCTAAACATTCTGATTAAAAACAAACATTTAAAGGTACAGAAACAAGAAAAACAGAAGGAACAATGCTTACCAAAATGGAGTCAAATACTGGAAGGAAATCTACTTGATGAGTTACTAGTAGGACTGTCTTGTTGAGAAGGGCTCCCATGACATATTCCTGGAAACAGAAATTCTTAGCTTCTTCAGAATAGAATTTCAGTTGGAAAAGCTAAGATCAAGAGACAAGAAATATATTGAGGATCACATTGAATAGCTTTCTAGCAGTATGAGCATCAAGCGCACTGAATGGATCATCCAACAGATATATGTCAGCTTCTTGATACAATGCACGAGCGAGCTGGACTCTTTGCTTCTGCCCACCACTGAGATTAACTCCGCGTTCTCCTATTATTGTTTGGTCACCAAATGGAAGCATATCGAGGTCTTTAACAAGACAGCAACTGTTAAGAACATTTTGGTATTTGTGTCGATCCATGATGGATCCAAAGAGAATGTTTTGTTCGATTGTCCCTGTTTGAATCCATGCACTTTGGGATACATATGCAATTTTCCCATGTACTTCAACCTGCAATAACAAAGTTGATTACAGTTCAGGCCTTTCAACATAAACAACTTCCAAAATGTACATGACAATTTCAGATTACTTTTCAAAAATTGGATTGTGTACTTACTGAGCCATCATTATAGGGAACTTCTCCAAGGATTGCAGCCAGAAGAGTTGATTTTCCTGAACCAACTTCTCCACAAATTGCGACCTTCTCCCCTAGTTTAACCTGAATGTTGATGTTTTCCAAGCAAGAGTTTAAAGAATCAGCTTCCCAAGAAATCTTCTTAGAATTAATCATGACAGAATGCTGTAGTTCACTGCATTCCTGGATCTTCATGTGACTTTTCTGCAACTCAGGCGCCTCAAGAAACTTGTCAATCCGAGAAAAGGAAACCTTTGCTTCAATAAAAATCCCAAGGACATCTGGAATTAACCGTATAGGTTCCTGAACTATACGTAAAGTGGCAAGAAACGTAAAAACATTACTGGTGGTGAGGGGAAAATTTAGCATATAACAAGTCCAGAAAGTAACCGCAGATACTATCAGAGGAGTTGACCAAAACAAAACCATATAGTAACCCTTCATTGCCTGAATATTCCACAACCATTTGAACTCTTCTTCCCTTAATAAACCAATGGTATTCTTGAAATGTGTCTCCCAAGCATAAAACTTCAGAACTTTTATATTTGTTAGTGCTTCAGTTACGGCCTTAAGCATTCTGTCTTGTGCAACCATAAGCTTGCTAAGAAACTTGTGCTGCAATTTTCCAACGGGGGAATTCCCAAGCACACTGAGCACCACTACAGCAAAAGCTGGAATTGTTGCAAATCCAACAGCGTATGACATAATTGCCAACCCCATGAATAGTTGTAGCCCAATCGTCCATATATGATGAAAGAAATATGGGAATTCAGCAATTTTATATGCATCCACTGTGACATAATTCATGATCTCTCCGGGGGAGTGGATATGTCTCGATGTATTTGAAAGACAAAGTTGTTTCTTGTAGATTGCTGCAGTTAGCAAGGATTGAACTTGAAGGCCAATCAACTTAGTCCTGAAAAGCCATTGTCTCTCCGCCAGTGATTCTAGGCATTTTGCAACAAAAAGACCTCCTGTCAATGCATAACCTTCATATTTGAACATTTCCTTGCCGCCAGCAAGATCAATGAAAGCATAGAGAAATAGAGGACCACTTGACAAAGTTATGATCTTAACCAGTGCGAAAAACCCTGAGATCAAAAGGGCTTTCCTCTGACAGAAGATAATCGATGACAGAGTTGAAGATTCATAACAACTCACCTTGCGCCGACTTAGAAGTGTTTCCATGAACAATGAGTAACACGTTCCAGCTTTATCTTCAGGCCTCAGTTCAGGAATATCTTCATCCTGGAGAATTTTCTGTTTACCTTTCTTCAGTAACGGATTCAACCAGCTAAATGACATTTTACTTAGAAATCCAGCTTCTGCAAATGGAGTGATTTTGTCCTGTGAACTGACTGAGGTGGCGGCATCTGCTTCTTCGCCTTTCAATGGTTCATAGTAATCTTCAGGATACAAATCTTCACTGTTTCCTGAGAGCTTTTTCGCCTGAATCGCATACAGGACAAGCAGAAGTGCCCCCGGAAACCTTAGCACATCTATGATCCCTTTGGGAGTCACAACTTTGTCCAATATTAATTCCCACAAGGATGCAATACATAGAAATCCAGCTAGCAAAGCAGCAAAACAGCTCAACTTAAGCATACCGGGTTTGTTCTTCATACTTCCCAAGAACAAACACAAAAACAACCATGTCAATCCCTGGAATAGAACTGCAATCCAGGGATCAAGAGGCAGGACACTTTTTCTGGTGCTCAAACTCTTTCCAACTGTCCATAACCCTGAAGCTACATAAGCCAGCGCGATCCCTCCATTGAATAACAAGCAAGAAAGTTGAAGGAAAGAAGAATTGCAGCATTCAGAACCTGAAACTAGGCAGGATCTCCTGGATGGAGTTGTTCTTCTGATAAAAGCACAAGTAAGAACGGTTAAGAGCAAAATTACACTAGCAGAAATGACCAAAAGATGATTAGCGCATGACGACGGATCAATCATTGCTAGTATTTCTGAACTGCATTCTCTTCCAACTCTGTCTTGGCAATCATTTTCCCCACAGAAAATCTTCCACAGTTCCATTTTCCAATCCACCTGATTCAAAGCTGAAGCCAGGGAAAAAAATCAGAAAAAAAAAATGAATGGGCTTATAAATTTAGAGTCAGTGACTTACACATCACTCACTCTATTCTAAATTCCAGACCATGTATAAACATATAGTATACTAACTAAAAAAATGATGCAGATTCTAAATTTGAGATCGGGGGATTCAGACATTCATTTCCTAAATCTGATTCTGAACAGCCTAACTTATCTTTGTACAAAGAAACCTTAGAGAAAGGGGGAAGGAAATGATGGATTTCATCTGGCATAGAAGAAAACTAAGAAGGTTGTATTAGTAGTGTTTAGTATCTATGCGTGCTACATTATAGTACATCTTATTAATTATTATGTAGGAAAATTCTAGTGTCTAGATATAAGTTTTTTACTGAACCGTACAGTTCTAGTTTATATAAAAATTAGGTAATTATGACAGGTTTATAGGGTGAGATGCATTCTAACAAATTTAAATAAGTAAAAGATTAACTTGCAAATTATGTTTTTTTTTTGAAGATAATTGTTAAATTAATCTGTAGTTAAGATAAATATTGATCATGTTACGGAACAAATCATGTCTTCTTGCACTGAAGCCCAAATAATAAATAAATCCAGAAGCACACCTACACCATTTCCTCCCTCTCCTCTCACATTTAATATTCTCTCATCAATATATTTTGGTCTCCATTAAAGCACTGTAAGATGTACTCCTTCCGTCCCATAATTATTGTCTACTTTGCCCAAAAATTTTATCCAAAAATTATTGTCCAATTTGACTTTTTATGGATCAAGTTACACATTTGTCCTTAGTAAAAAACATTATCCATAAAATCTTAGTGGTTAAACAATTACTTATGTAAGGGTATATTCGGTTGTTTAAGGTAAAATATAGTTAAGTTTAACCAAAAATAAAATCTTTCATTTTAGTAAAACTGGACAATAATTATGGAACGGAGGGAGTACCTTTCTTGGATGTTAAGTTTATTCCAATAATATACGTACAGTGCATTGGAAAACAATGGCTCTGTATTTTATTTTAGTAATTAAAATCTTGATAGAGATCTGCTTCTTTAATCTAGGCGTTTTATATTCTCTACAAGCATCCAAAGGAGAAGGGAGCATCATGATCTCAAGTCTGAACTATATAGTTTATTATTTTTGTTGATCACAATGAACTGTATTTCCAAAAAGAAAAACACCATGATTTAGACTTAAAGCCTTTAATTACTCATATGGATGCTTTCCCACATGAAAGAATCAAATGAACATTGCAGAAGATGTGATGTCCAGGCTACCATTTGTTAACATCTAATTACAGTTCACTTGTTAGGTAAAGGATAAAGAGAGTATTGAATCCAAAGTAATTAAGGAGATTAACAGTTAATATATACATGTAGCGAAAAGTTCTTAGTAAATTGTCATGCACTTGATACATGCGTCCTACAAGCTGCTCATTAAGGAGAAGAGATTATAATATAAATAAATAAATTCTCGCCAGTAATGATCGAGTTCAACTCGTTGAAAATTATTAGTAATTTTTAATTTTTTTTATTCGTGAACACGAAAGCGACTTTACTCAAGAAAGCTTCACTTGAATATCCAACAAAATATTCCATTCTAGTCCTTAATATAAGACATTTTGATTTGTCTTAGGTTTCGCTTAATACGCGATTTTAATTGAGAAAAAAATCTTTAAAATATTTCATAACAATCAAGAGAACACAATGTACATAAAAATATAATATTAAGGTTTTTATTTCAGTTAAAAATGTATACTAAGTGAAACTTATAACAAATAAAATTGTCTTATATTAAGGACTGCAGAGAGATCTGGTGAAATTATTAGATATACATGTTTGACACAACTTGTCAATTGTTAAGGAGGAATTCAAAATATCTAGAATTGAGCTATATATGAATGAGACTTATACTAGACATATCATGTCGTCGAAACTAACTGCTGTTTGAGCAATTTGATCATAATTTGGACGCAATAGGTTGATTTCTTACTTTTTTTCGTTTTTGTTTTTCTCCTCAGGTTGTTAAAGTAGCTCAAGAGTTAATCATGAGATTGGAAATTTTGAAGTAATTAGATAAATTATTTGTGGAAAAACATGGCCCACGTTTTGTTGTGATTGAGTTACAAAACAAAATATGGCCGAAATAAGTCACTGATTAGTAGTCAGTGTAGCAGTTTCTTCCGGACCACTCCAACTTGCTGGCAGTGCAAAATTGAGGAATAATTTGGAGATAAAATCATGTGTTTGGTAATAAAAAAGAATCATCTAAATTTGGGAAACATTATAGTGACACTCGACAAATATGTGGTTGAATAATTAAGACTGATGTTTTATAAACAATTATAAGACTTCAATTCAACATATCTACTACAATCAATTATTCAAAAATTCTGGCATATGAAATGGCTTAATTGAGCAATATCAATAAACCCACATTTTACTACTACTACTACTACTCCAGAGTCTCCTCATCTAAGAAAAATAAATTTATTTTTGATATTATTTCAAAAAACTCTAATTTTAGTAGGGAAGAGACACACGTACAGGTAAATTGTAATGGATCCATCAACCACAAGCTAGCTAGCAACAATCACACACACCCCCGTGTCATGGATCAACCTCAAACCAACAATTTCCTTCCGGTAGTGCATCAGAATCATAATCAGATATTATTAATCCAGTCTATCAATCAAATTCCATTAGCTATATGAGTTTATATATATATATATATATATATGTTACCCTAGCACAGTTCATTGTATAAATTCAGTTCCTTGGGCTCCTCCCAAGTTCGTTTGTGTTGGAAATTATACCAACATATTGGCTCCACTCAACCAAAAGTTTACTACTCTTCCGTAATAGTAATATTATGATTCTAAAGGACATCTACTCCGGACAAAAATGCAGTGTTTCAAATTCACCAATCAACTAAAAAGAATCATAAGTTGGTACCAAAACTGTTTAGCCCTCCATTCGAACAGCCCCGTTCTGGGATATCACAAACTTGGGTTTCACGTTGACTTGCTTCATACACTGGATAACATCTCCAATCTTATAGTCGAAGCAGTCGTGGATCACAAGCCCGCACTCGTTTCCTTTATCCACTGCATCCACGTCATGTTTCTCCTTCTTCAGCGATGCGCAACATCCTTCGAAAATGACTTCCCCGCTTCTAAGGATCCTCATTGTCGAGGACCTCTCGAGTTGGCCAGTCACGACTCGGCATCCTGCAATCTTTACATCCACCCCCTTTAATTTGCCCCTCCCTTGAACTTCAAATATGTTCAACACCTGCGCTTCTCCATAAACCTTGGTCTCAGGTGTCCCCGGAGCCACCTCAACAATCAATCGACCAATGTCCTCAAGAAGACGATAAATGATCTTGTGCAATTTTACCTACAAAACCATTACAAAAATAAAATAAAATAAAAATCCATCTCGTTAGGAAAATATCCATCTCCTATCACAGAAACAATTTGGGACCAATGGAAACATGCAACAAAAAAGGTTTTAGAAATACACCAAATGGCAATATGATAATCCAGCTTTATGAATAATACCTGTACTTTAGCTTGATTTGCCGCTTGCGTGATAGAATAATCTATAGTGCCCACATTGAATCCAACAATACATGCATCACAGGCTTTTGCCATATCAACATCTGACTGAGAAATAGGCCCAACTCCATTATGGATAACGACGACTGGAAGCTGGTAACAAAAAAGCAAGATAGCAAGAAACTATTAGATTGAATCATGTGGTATAAGAAAAAAGTTGAGAATATCTTCAGACTAAAAAAATTTCTCAAAACTAACATCTGCCTTTTCTTATGTAGAAAGGAACAGGAAAACATTTAAAGTGCATTATTTTACTATCAAAGAGTATAGGCAAACAACAGTACGTGATTCTTCATAATAATAATCCACTGTACCTGAGGACTATTTAGACTCCTCAAAGCATCTATAACTGCCTCAACAGTGCCTTGAACATCTGCCTTCACTATAATTGGCAACTCGGGCCTTCTGGGCTTATCTTCTTTTTCTAGTACTCTTTTTTCCCTTTTTCCTTTATGCCATCCTCTTCTTTCTCCTCCAGCTATAGTTTCATCTTCACATTCTTTCTCTTCCTTATTTTCTTCAGCTTCCGCTTTCTCTTTCTCTAGCACTTCTTGTCTTTTCTCATCCATCTTCGTTAGTCTATCCCTTTCACGTTTCTTCTTCCTCCCTTCACTAAGCATCCTTGCTCTTTCCTCCGAGTGCACAACAGTAATGTCATCACCAGCCATTGGAAGTCCCTTTAGCCCTTCAATTTCTACAGGCATAGCGGGTCTAGCACAATCAATGAAGTTCCCTAATGTATCCCTCATGACTCTTATCCTTCCCCACTCAGCACCAACAACAACACACTGCCCGGGAACTATTGTTCCTGCCTTCACTATTGCAGTAGCCAAAGGACCACGTCCCTTATCAAGCCTTGCCTCAACCACATAGGCTTGGGCTGGCCCATCAACCCGGGCTTTCAGATCCATTAACGCAGCCTGGAGAAGTAAAGCCTCCTCCAGTTTATCCAATCCAGTCCCTTTCGTAGCTGAAACTTCAACCACCTGAATGTCTCCACCGACATCTTCAAGTGCCATACCCTCTGAAGCCAGCTGCCTTTTTACTCTTTCCGGGTTCGCCTGCGGTTTGTCACATTTGTTTATTGCCACCACGATCGGGACACCAGCTGCATTTGCATGGGAGATTGCTTCAAGGGTTTGAGGCATTATACCATCATCAGCTGCCACAACCAACACAACTATGTCTGTAATTGCGGCACCTCTAGCACGCATGGCACTAAATGCTGCATGACCAGGGGTGTCGAGGAAAGTGATTGACTCCCCCGATTGCATCCCAACAACAAAGGCACCAAGATGCTGCGTTATGCCTCCAGCCTCCTGAGCGGCCACAGAAGTTTTACGTAATGCATCCAAAAGAGAAGTTTTACCATGGTCAACATGGCCCATCACTGTCACAACTGGAGACCGAGGAACTAAATTAGCACCCTCATTTGTGTGACGCTTTCTTACATTGATTCCAATTTCCTGAAATACGTACAATAGCTCTTGTTTAAAGCTGCTGGCTAGAAGCCACACACAACAAACAGAATTGGGAAAAGACGAAAAGAAAAAAATCGGAAGAAATTATCTCTACTTGCAACTCTTTCTCATAAATTGGCACTTTAAATTAAATATGTTACGGTATCAAGATTTTTCAAAGGGGATGACTCTCAGATACTTTCAAATCATTAGTTGGGAAAAGGAAGGTTGTTTGAAAGCTATAAACCTGTTCGTAACATGCTATTCATAGAAGTACAAATAGCTCAAAAAGGAACTAAGAAGAACCCTTTAAAAATAAAAATTACCATGGCAACTAGCTCAGCCAGATCAATTCCCAGAGAATCAAATTCTGAGTCAACTTTTTCGCCGACATTCACGAGAATACTCTGAATAGTAGATATTGATTCTCCACAGAGCTTCGAAAGTTCTATAACCGTCATGCCCTCAAATATTTCAATTGTTTTATCTGTACGAGATTTGGCAGGCCTTTTCGGTTTAGGAGGCACATAAGGAGCTTCAACTGGTGGGGTGGAGCTTTTTGGTTTCTTTTTGTACTTCCCTTTTCGATCACTCTTTAAGCCCCATCCTATCTCATCATCCAATCTCCCCAACAGTTGAGGTGTTGCATGAAAAGACCTGAAAAAGGATAAACAGAAAATTCACCCTCAATAATATTAAGTTCACGAACTCATATAAATTTCATTTAATAACTTGGAGACCCAAATGATACTGCACAAAGGGGAAGTTTGAAACACCCAATATGTAAAGATGGAAAAGGTAAGGCTCCGCACGGTATGACAAGCTTTAAGGGAAACCCTCAACAGGCAAATTTTTGTTCTACAAAGAAAAATTCAAAACAGATGTGCTGAAGAAGAGATCTTACCTAATTAAATTTTTGTTTGTCAGAAAGTTGAAATCATCACAAGATGTTGATTGTGGAGTGAAGCCATATGCTGAAGATGCAGCCAAAATGAAAACTTATCAGTTATAGCAATGTTTGCAATCTTTCAATGCATGTATCTGTTACTGGAGGAAAGCAGACAACTAGAGAAATGTCTCCGGGTGAATTGCATATTTTCAAGACAATAACAACTCTCCAATGCATGAAAAAACGGTGGGTGGTTTAAAAATGAATCTGAAGGAAAAACTATTGGTAATTAACCATCAAGTGAGAATCCAAACAATCAGAAGGGCCATTAGATAGCCAAATTTTAATATTAGCGTTAGAAAAACTAATTGTTGCCTGGAAAATAAATCCACCAAAAGAAATGAGGCAGGAAATGTAGCCTGGGATCTTTGTTACCGTGTATTTGCTTCGCCAAGGCGCGAACTGAAGCCTGAGCTCGTTCAAGTTGGAACTTAGAACTAGGCACCACTGAGTCTGTAAAAGCTACAGTCAGTGCTTTAGCTAGATTAGCTCGAATACCCTACAAAAGTCAAGGAAATGCTTTCAGCGCCCTTCCGAAAGTCAAATTTCCAGATTCTTTCTAACAAAATGCTTTTGACACAATGGAAAGAGAATGTGCAGCATTAAAATTAGGGCCAAGCATTAATAAAGTCACACCAGTTGAAAATTAGGAATGCTGATAATATCAAAGGCTAACCTTTTTCCCTGCTATTCTCCACGCCATTCATATCAGTTTCTGCCCCTACACAGAAAAATGATACAACTCATAAAACCACAAGTTCACACATGGTAAACGCAAAGGTTTTGCAGAAAGGAACGTTTTCTCTCTATGCAAGGTTTAGCACATTTGATTATTATGCAAAGGTTCACAGAGTAATATTTTTCCTCTCTACCTACTGATGTATAAATAAGCAGCCAATGAGAGCCAAAGGTTCTAAATTGAACAGCACTATAATCATCTCTGGAATTCTAGTCCAAAATCAAACTCAGTAAACATCAAAATTTCCATCACGAAGTTCAAGAAAAAAAAAAGTAACATGCACCAATTCAAGAAAGAAAAGTAAGAAAAACACCATAGTTGCTTTTAATATGAAAAAGAGGTTATAGACAATAACTCAGCTAAAACCCCCGACTTATACATCTTCGAAATCATAAAACCCAAATGAGAAGTTAAAGCCTACAAACATGTCCAAAGCAGAAAAAATTTAATGAAAGATTAACCGAGGAAATTTGCAAATCTAAATGGAACTAGTAATACACTATTCCTTCTCCACCCAGAATAACTGAAATTTCACATGATAGAATATTGTGCAGAGAATGGAGATTGAACTTACAGAAAACGGGTGTGTTGGTGGATCTGAAAGACTGGGATTCTCATAAAAGTGTTGTTAGATGAGGAGAAATTAAGGAGGAGCTTGTCTGCTGTTTGGAGCCACCACGCTTGATGGAGAAGAATTAGCGAAGGGCAGGGGAAAGAAAGAAACGATTTTTTCTGTTGCTACTTCTTCCGGAGTAAATTCTGTTTCTGGCCCCTGCACTTATAATTATCATCAATAAAACCCGTTTCTTTTTTCTTTTTGTGTCAATTGACATTGTTTTTTTAAGGAAAGTGAAATTGAACAAGTATCGTGAGATACGTACGCGATACTTGTCAAAATCCAAGACTTCAATTCGTACTATGGTATATATCGCAATCGTTTGTGTATCGGTCAATTATCGGTACGTTTCGTACAATACATACGATACACGATACGTTTGTGTATCGTTCGATAACAAAACATAGGCAAAAAATAAATTTTTTTTGAAAGAATTCAAATTATTGTTTTATGATGACCATTTAAATTTTAACTTAAGAGCGAATTTCATTTAGAATTCGTTTTAAATAGATTTGTTTGATTTATTTCACTCACAAACATAATCTTTCTCAATTAACAATAAAATCGCTTAACAAATTATTCTAGTTCAAAAAATTAAAATCATTAAAAATATTTTTTATTTATAATATAATTTTCTAAATCAAGTATAAATAATAGCATGTTAAATAAATGCTATACATGTTTATAGTAATTTTCTCACTATTAAATTTATGGTTATAAAAACAACTATTATAAAAAATAATTTTTGTTACATAGGTTTTATGATCATTTATTCATGTAATGGATGAGTAATTTGTGTAGCTTTCAAAAAATATTTAATTCAACTTAATCAATTTATTTGTTTGTAACTGAAAAATAACAAAAATATATAAATATATTAACTACATATAGAGTTTATGATATTTATTAATTTATTTTATACATATTAATATATTAACATGTATTTTACGATACGAGTGGGAGGGTTGGGTGAGGTGGTTAGAGAATTAGGATAGGGGATGGTTTTTATCAGGAGGTCGAGGGTTCGATTCTTACTGGGGCTATCCAATGTATTTTACGATACGATACACACGATGCGCGTATCATAAAATTAGATTTTCGATACACGATGCGTATCACGATTTGACAACTATATCCTTGTACTTAAAAGATTTTACCATCAACCAACTCAAGATCGAATTTGGAAATAGGAGAAAATTCAATTATTCAAAAATATTCACAAAGTGATTGTGAGAGCTTTATAGAATTACAAAATTGTCACAAAGATATTGATTTTCTTTATTTTGTTTTTTTTTGGCTTCGATAACTATTCAAAAATTTCCATCTCATTTAATTTTTTAAAAAAAAATTTAAAGAAGCAAAAAGAAATAGACTATTAAGTATTCACTTTTCTTTAATTTAAAACTAGGTTTCCAAGAAAAATTAGACTATGAATTGAAATGGTCCCACTGAAGCGCGCAAGTAGTAGTAGATTTATTGATCTCCTTAATAGATACGTTTGAATTCTGTAAAGTGATTAATGATAGTTGATGTTCTAGGATATGCATAATTTAGTTTTCAATAAGATGCGATTTAATAGTATAGATATTTTTGTTAACTAATGCAGGTACCATTATTCCAAAAAAAAATTACGATCGGTGCACTGTTGTAGGAGTGAGCCTTTTTTTTGTTTTTCACAATTGCTGAAACTAGTAGTGTTCAGAATGGCTAAAGAGTATTATAACAAAAATTCGGCCATTAAAATGAAACGAAGGGAGCTTTTTGATAGGAGCGAGCAATATTGTAAGAAAGACTTTCATTCATTGCTTTGCTTATTCAGAACAGTTGCTCACTTGCTCCCCCTTTCTCAACCAAAGTCCAATTTATAGTGTACCAGAGATAGAGAGAGTACCAAATCGCTTCCAAGATGTAGGAAAAGAAAAACAAAGACAACCCTAATCACACCTCACAAGATATTAAACACAAAACATTCAGATAAATAAATATCCTTTCTTCGAAGAATCCCAGAGATATCCATGTATTCTATAATGATCAGTCTCCAATGAAGCATTTGCTAAACAAGCAGAAGTAGTTCCAAGAAAAAAGTCCGATCGGGATAGACAGAATTTTCATTTTATTGGCTCCATATGACCAGGTCTAGGTTCGAGCAACTTAACCTTATTTTACAAAAATATAAAAACAAATAAATATTGGGGAAAAAATAGGGGAAAGAACTCTGAAATACTGAAGAAAATTTTGTGTTCCTGTTTAACACTAATAAAAGCCTGTAAGACAAGAGGACACTTCCACTTGAGCAATCACCGATCTGGGGTACAAGGTAATAGGAAGACCAACAAGGGACAAACTCATGGTAAATTGCCAGTTCTAAACTTCGAGCACTTGCAAAACCCACGCACGATTTAAATACAGAATCCTTCAACCACATTAGGCGGCAACTTGGCCAAACAGCCACTTACGGATCTGCAGAGAGTAGGAAGATAGTTATTGTAAGAAATTAGCTTTGTACAAGAACCAAAACAAGCCCTGATATAATCAGTTGCCATATTTTGATAATATTTTCATTGGTTATCAAGCTCTCATTTTAGTTTACCATATTTGAGGTTTTAACTTACTAGGCACTAAGTTTCAAGTCAACCTAACTGGCAGATAACATTACTTAAGGTAACATCATAGAATTAGTACCTCTGGAAGCTTTTTGCGGTACACAACTTCCAACCTTGCATCAAGAGTGTTTTCACACACTATCTTTCCATCTCGAGATGCTAATACCACGCCTCCAGAGCTGAAAGGGCAAAAGGAGAAAAGATTATAAATTGCTTCCACCAGCACTTCGAAAAAGATGGTAACAACCACAGATAATAATAAAAAAGAAAAGGTGAAAATGAACAAAAATCGGTTGGAAACAGTAAAAAGGAAAATGAACAACCCTGGGCATATACATGACGTAGAAAGATGATAAAAATTTTACCAGTAAGGATCATGTGAATCTTGACTGGAAGGAGCAGGCGGAAGATAGACAGTGTCAACAATGACCTCAGGCGTGTGAACGCTTGCCTTCTGAGCATAAACCTCTTTGGCTTGCTCTAGGACAGAGTTCACCAAATCCACATCAGCTTTGCGACAACGAAGTAGCACAGAAGGTTCTTTCAATCTGAGTAAACTCTGCAAACAAAAGATTTTTCTCCGATAGTGTCATATTTCTTTTTTGTATTCCTATATCACTGATTCATGCATTCAAGTATAATCTACAATCGTCACCCGCACAAATCCCCGATTCCACAAAATAATTTTAAATACTGCTACACAATCAGATGGTTTAAATACCTGAACAATAAGATCTTTCAGAAGTTCTTTGTATTTTTGGTCATTGCTCACGCGCAAAAGTTCCTTTGATGCTGCCTCCTTCATATTGTTAACCAAGTCATCCTGAGCTTGAAGAACCTTGATTCTAGAAGCATTGAGCTGCATAGAGTACTCACTGCAACAAAGCAGTAGAAACCATAAACTTTCTATCCTCCAGTCAACTGAAATTAAACCCTAAAGCATTTCCTATCGTATGTAGAGAGAAAACAACTACAAATAGTTTTATTCCAGCTCAGACAAATATAGTAAGAAAACCCTTAGATCGATTGTAGCAATGCAACATATAAAACCAAACTTAATACTGAAAAGGAACTCTGAACAGAAGAAGTTCAAAGAAGATCATAAAATCGAAACATCTTGATATCAGTTCTGGCTTCCTACAACTTCCAATCAAGAGTAACTTCGATCAAAGTACAAAAGACTTCAGAAAGTAGAGATCAAGTAAAATAACAAAAAACTATAATCAAGTTGACTTTTCCTAAAGAATCTATAAGGGCACAACAACGTCATGCCACAAAAAAAAAAAATGATCATAGAGGTTCGTATACAACAATTTTCTAAAAGCAAAAAACAGAAATCAGATCTGCCGTGATAAATATTAAAACCAAAAAATCACAAAAGCCAAAAGAACTAAAATGAACTTGAGCAATAGAAGCAAATCAACAACATAATAAAATTATTTCACAAAACACATACTATAATACGACAGAGAAAAACCATAATTCAAAGGAAGATAATAATGGAAAAGGAAAATTACATCTTCTTACGGACTTCAACTTGCTTCTGCTTACGTTCATACTCCTGCCTAATCTTCTTCTTCTCGGCTTCCACTAATTGCAACTTCTCAATGTTAAACTCCTGGCAAATTTTCATCAATTCAAACAATTAACAAATCAGAAAAAATTGAATTCCACACAACCGGAAATCAAAACTAAATCCCCCCAACATTACGACGAACGGAGTGGAAATCGGAAAACACGAATCAATTGAGCTTACTTCCTCAGCAGAAACGGAGATCTCGTTGGCCTTCTCTTCGGCTTCTTGCCGAATGAATCGGACCATTTGCTGGATCTGCTTGGAGACATCGGTGTCATTCATCTTGGCCGGGGATCGGAAGGTTACGATTGACGACGGATTGGATTTGGTTGGATGAATCCTCCTTCGACGACGATGATTGGTGACCTTCTCTTTCCTGCCTTCTAGCACAGTTGGTTTTTTGTGTTACTGTTTTGATTTTTTTTCTTTTTTTGGTTTGATTAAAAAAAGAATACGACGAGATGAGAAGGCCACGCGACTCTGCCCCTCTCGCGGCTCCTAATAATAATAATAATTGATTGATTGGTATGATGACTGACGGTTTCTCCCGATTGGATTTGGATCTGATGTTAAAAAATAAAAATAATTAGTAGTCTTATTTTACCATAAAAAAATACACCCAGGTTAATTTGATTTTCTAAAGTACCCTTATTATTTTAAAAAAATATCAAAAAAAGCTCCCATTTGGTTAGTAAATTATCAAATGGGTCCTTAGGCGATTGAAAATTGATACTCCCTCTGTCCCAAAATTATTGTCCAGTTTGAGATTTCAGTTTTAATACAATTTGAACTAAAAATGAAAACTCAAACTGAATAATAATTATGGGACGGAGGGAGTATATGTAAATGATGTCAGACATAAGAAGTACTAAAGAAGATATTTGTACTTCCAAAAAAAAACCTCTGTACTTTCTTTTTACATACCCTCACAAAATGGGTTTGGGCGTCGTGTTAATTCTAACCTTCTGAAACTTCAATAATTTAGGGGAGAAATGGCTACTTTCACAACTTGTGAAAAACGAATTTTAAATTTAAAAGTGGCTATTTGATTTTATTATATTTTTGAAAAAAATCATTATGAGTTTTATGGGAATGCAAATGTCTTTTTGACATTTTTTCAGCTAACTTCATATGCATACATCCATTTCAGTTGCCAAAGACCCTTTTGATAATTTACTTATTCATTGAGAAATATTTTTTATTCATTTTTATATAGTAAGAGTATATTACAAAATTAAGTTAACCTTGGGGTGTTTTTGATATTATCCTAAAAAAATGTTAAAAGTTTTTCACTACCTTCTCTTATTCATGACATTCCTATTGACACCACAAATGACTGTTTTTTGCTTTTTTTTTTCAACAAAATACTTAATCTCACAAGATTTGTGATGTTTGTTAGGGCATCTCCAACGAAAACATCAAGACACTAAATTTGGTGTTTTAGTGTAAAGATTGCACTCTAACGAAAACACCAAATTACTACACTGTTTTAGTGCAATGAATAATACTACACCAGATTTAGTGTAAATTATCCATTGCACTATTTTTAGTGCACTATCTTTTACTTTGATCTAAATATATGTTTTTATGTAATTGAATTTGTAAAACAAATTATGTTGTGAGAATTATATCATATTAAATATTTTGTTGAGATCTTACAAAATAAGACCCATATTGAATATAGAATTTATTTTAAAAAAAATTAATTTTTGGTCATTATTAAAATTAAATATGAAACAAAATTGAAAAAAAATGATACTACTATAATCAAATAAAAAACGATTATAAAAAACAAATTTCACAAAATTATCAACAAATTACAAGATTTTAAGTAACCACAAAATAAAATTTAACCTAAAACAATAAATATTCAAACCATTTGGTGCATCAAGGTTGGCAATCAAAGAATTTTGGTGTAAAAAAATTATTAGAGTATTCTATTTTTACACTAAACTTAGTGCAAATTATAGTGAAATAATTGGAGATACTCTTATACTAGTGTACATTGAACACGGGGATACTACTTTTTATTTGCATTTTGTATCTTTATAGTTGCACTTAAGGTGAAAATAGATTATAATTATATTTTTTGTACGGCCAATGAATTCATAATATACAAATAATGACAAGATAAGTAGTTTTACAAAATATAATCGTGTTTTTTCTTTTCGCATTTAGTCTAATCGTGAATCGTCGTAGTAGTATAGAATAAAAGTTCAGTGAGTGTTATTATTAAATTTAAGTAGATTTGGAAAAAAAACAAAAAAAAAAAGATATTACAGTCGACTTACCATAACAAATTCATTCATGAACAACAACATTCACATCAAAAAAAGAAAAGAAAAAACTTTCAAGTGTGAATAGTTGATTAATTCACTTTATTAATCACTGTAATGTAATTTGGTGAGTTGTGAGTTTATCACCCATGCATTATAATTTAATGGAAACTATTTTCTTTATAATTGGAAATTTGATTAGAAAACAACAATTAATAACTGATTTTGTGGGATTTAATTACATTTTAAAAGGTTAAGTTGTGGAAGGCATATGAAACTAAAGAGGTCAAAAGCTTAAGTTAATTTAAAATACAGGGAGCAATGTACAAATAATTGATGATATAATTGGGAATTGCAGTTTGAACTTCGGTTTTCGGTGGGCTGGACTTATCAGTCGGAGAGCAACTCCGAAACGTCCATTTCACTGTCGTGTCCGAATCTCCGGTTAACGGTAAAAATCCCCTAAATTGCCGTACCTGTACCCTCCAGTTTAAAGCTCCGACAAAAAAAAGGCGAAATCAGCTCCTCACGGCGTCGTTTGGAAGAACGATGAGCAACCGGGGATCCAGTAACCACCGGCAATCATCAGTGTCGAGCTTCCGATCTCGATTTTCGTTTACAATGCTCTCCATGTTTGCCTGCATGGCTTCGCTTTATGTCGCCGGACGGTCAGTTGTACACCAATTCACTCTTTTCTAATTTTACAAAATTCCTACTTTCTTTTCGGTTATCTGATGAATGCTGGTTCTGAAATTTATTCCGGGTTAGATTGTGGCAGGATGCAGAGAATAGGGTCCAATTAGTTCAAGAGCTCGATAAACGCACCGGTCAGGTAAATTTCGTCCATTTCGGTCATTTGTTCTGATTGATTCTCCCCTTAGCATTTCATGAAATACTCTTGCCCGGATTATGGAATGGGGTACAGTTTACGTCTTGCTGTTGATTATTGCCTTCTTATCAGAAATGATACGATGCGTTTCCAGAATAATAGGAATTAGGTGATAGTCACATGAAATTTTTTGGTCTCACAAATAGTAGTATGCATTTCTAGAGTGATAGAAATTACAGTAGGTGAGAATCACATGAATTTAGTCGGAGTTAGTTTTGTATTTGCTTATGTTTTGTACGGGGTTGGAGGTTTGGTAAGCTGCATTCAATGCTTTCATATTTTCACATTTGTTCTCTTGGCATCTGTCTCCTTAATCCTAACCATTTTTACGTTCAAGTTTACACCTTGGGTGTAAGACTTGGACAAATGTAACTATCAGCTCAGTAAATTTGATTGTACTTATATTTGCTTATTAAAGTATCATTAACCTTTATTGAAGAAAGTGATGTGAAGCTAAGACACCAGTTCTGCCACTGCAGGGACATTCTGCTGTGTCTGTTGATGAGACTTTGAAGATTATAGACTGCAGGTCGGTTGAATGTGTTGCATTTGCTTTTTTCACTAGTTGTATTTGAGTCAATTCTGCGGTGGATTAACTGGTTATGAGGTTTTGATTGTTTCATTTGTGAAACTAATGGCGCATTTGCGACACTGATACATTGTTGACTAGGGAACAGCAGCAAAAGTTAGGAGCTCTTCAGATGGAGCTGGAAAAGGCTAGGCAGGAAGGATTTGTGTCAAATTCTCTTGCAGGAAATGGCGCGACAGATGGAAAGAAAAAGCTTCTTGCTGTTGTTGGGATCATTACAACGTTTGGCCGCAAGAATAATAGAGATGCAATCCGTAAAGCGTGGATGCCTGGAGGTTAAAATTTGCTTTCTTGGTAGATAGTTTAAAATTTGAATGATGTGGTTGGTTGATCATACTCACCTTGTTCAAAGTTGCTGCGGTAGTTCTTAAATTCTACATAAATGTTGTTTTTTCTTGAAAGCACCCTTCTTCATTTTCTTGCGAGTTTTTCTCAAAGTTACCTCATTTAGCATTACTTAATGCAGGCGCTGCTTCAAAGATTTTGGAGGAAAAGGGCATCATCATAAGATTTGTTGTGGGGAGAAGGTCTCTGTTACTGACCAATTGTAGTAATAAGATGTTCTTTAGGTGCTTCAGTTGATTTACTTAAAACGTCGTGCAGTGCAAATCCTGGTGATGGTTTAGATAAGGACATCAACAATGAGAACAGGCATCAAAATGACTTCATAATTCTTGTACGTTTATGAGGTGCAATTTTGTTTCTAGTTTGCTTACAATCTGTATTTCTTCATTGTAGATATTGAACTGTTATTGACATCAAATTGCCTGATCCCACAGTTATTTTCCATCATTTCCGTTCTCCATGTTATATCATAAGCCATCTGTTGATCTTTGATTTCTTTTTTCTTTTTTTAATAACATGCATTCTAGCTATGTATGTGAAGAAAAACTTATTAAGCTGCACTACTTAACTTTAGTGTTGGCTGACCAAATGAATATCCCCTTTGTTTCTGACCAGGATGATCATGTGGAGGCTGCTGAGGAGAGTACAAAGAAAGTGAAGAAGTTCTTTTCTCATGCTGTGGAGCACTGGAATGCTGAATTCTATGTTAAGGTCAATGATGATATCTATGTAAATATTGGTAAGTTGTACTCTCTGTGGGGTTCAGAAACTATGGGCTTTTCTTCCATTGTTGTGGCTTGTGAACTAGCTAAATCCAGAGCAAACAGTGTGATGAAAAATTTATACTTGACATAATTTGTGACAAATTCGGTGCTGACTGTTGGAGTTTTATCTTTGAAATGCAATATTTCTGAAAGAACGAGAACTCGTCCTATGCAAGTAGAAGAATATAACTGTATGGTGGCAACGCCAATGATAATAATTTCAGCTGTGCTTCAGGGAACGTTATATTGTCCAGTATGGTTAACAGTTTTGGCATTTTCTGTATTCTAAATTTGTTGGCAATTCGTTTGAAAGATAAAGTGTAAAGAATGATATTTTTAGACCACATACTTGACTCTGTTGACATAGTATTTCGGAGATGTTTAACTTTGATTATTTCAATCTGGTGCTCCATTTGTTTTGATCATTTTTTGTTTTTTTGCAGATGCTCTTGGGTCTGTACTAGCCAATCATTTGGATAAGCCTCGTGTTTATCTAGGTTGTATGAAGTCCGGGGAAGTTTTCTCACAACCGTGCGTCTCTTCTAACTTTTAAAAGGATCAGAATTTCAATCTAAATAAGTAGAATGAAGGTAAGGGCATTTATTGAGGTTTGATTTGGTGCTACCGTGTTTTGAACCTACAGGACCCAAAAATGGTATGAACCTGAGTGGTGGAAATTTGGGGATAAAAAATCGTGAGTATTTAATTGCTCATTTTACCATTCAGCTTTTTGAACTTTTTTTCCCGTAGTATCTTTACCTTGTAATTTGATATCAACAGATACTTTCGGCATGCTTCTGGAGAAATATATGCTATTTCACAGTCCGTGGCACAGTTTATATCAATCAACAAGTTAGTTCCTCTGTTTATTTGTGCTCATTACCATCAGTTGAGTACACTGGAATTACGAAGAAGAAAGAATTGCTACTGCATTCATGCTTATTCTCTTCTATTCCCTTGGTTATTTAGGTCTATGCTCCGATCATATGCCCATGATGATGTCAGTGCTGGATCCTGGTTCATTGGCCTTGATGTAAAGCATGTTGGTGAAAGGAAGTTTTGTTGCTCTTCCTGGTCGTCAGGTTCTTCTCTTTCTTTCTCCCCTCTACTCACTCCACAACCTCCACGTGTTTTGGTCTTTGGTTAACAATTTTGTGGACTAGGCAATGAGTTTTGAGTGACTTGTGATGACTAAATACGATTGCATTTTATTGTGTATGTTGTGGTGTTTGGGACATCCTTCTGGATTACATCAAACGTAAGTCCTACCCGGATATCAATGGTGGATGGAAAGCTTTAATCAAACATAGAAAAATAGTTTTGGCTTAGACCTTTTTTTTTCCCCTTGCTACTGGAAACTACGAAGCATTAAGCCTACCTGCAATGCATACATCTAGACATGTCAAAATTTAGGTGATCAAATGCTTGCCAACTTTTTAGTGCTTTAGCCATGCCTGTCCTTCGTCTAGCTGATTCCATTAGATGTAGTGGTTTTCTAATAAGGGCTTATGACTTTTATGAATTTCAGGATCTGTTTGTGCAGCTTCCTGAGTTTAAGTTTCTCGTGCTGATGGAAATCCAATTTTGGAAGGGCATTCTTCACCTTGCAGTCTGACTGAGGCATCTACTCTGTATGAGAATTATTGAGACACAAAATAGCATTTTTCCTGCTGAAGTTACTCTTCACCAGTGCTTCTTTACCACTTAAACAGGTTTGCTGCTGAGTCGTGTAAATCCTGCCAATAGCGACGGATGTCTTCAATGTAACCTATAGATTAGAAATGTGTGGATTGGTTTAATGAAGCCGTATGTATGAGTAACATGAAAATTCCAAGGTGAACCCTTTCTTGGTTTTCTTTGAAGGATTTAGAGATCCTCATGCTGTACTAACTGTTGACTATTGACCACAATATCAGTTATGCTTTGTAGAGTGATTGACTTCATCCTTTTAGGTTCAAGCAGGCAATATTTCTTTGCCCTGCTCTTGCACCTTTTGCCCTTGCGTAAACAATAGACGTGCGTACAATTATGACTTCTTACCATTGGAACGATTGTACTATGCCCATATATTTAATACTCCCTCAGTCCGGAAATAATTGTATAGTTTAAATTTTCATTTTTAGTTTAAATTGTACTACTAAAAGTGAAATTTGAACTGAACAATAATGACTGGGTGGGTTTTATAATGATGTGGCATGAAAATATAAGCTTTAGAAAAAAACAAAGGGGTTTTGTGGGAAAAAAAAATGTAAAATTACTCATTCTCAGTACAAAAAGTTAAACTTCAGGCAGGGAATTTTTTTTTTTTTTTTTCACTTCCTCATGATAAGTCATTCAGGGAAAAAAAAAAAAAGGTTATGTAAATTGTGAAGTACGTAAATACGTAATGGAGCAAAAAGAATCTGAGATCAGGGACCAACTCAGCAATAATTAGGAAATGAGTGTACAAAAATATGATTTTCGAGGCTTAGCAAAGTAAACCCGAAGCCGAAAGTTTTTCTGTTACCATTTCAAAGTCCTGCAGTATATGGAATCGGAGGTCGGTGGGTGGGATTATGAGTAGCCGGGTGTTAATTAACCGCCGGTTAGCATCGACATTGAGCTTGGGATGCAATTAGTTATTGTTCTTGGCAGTGTGATGATACCAAATTTTTTGACGTGTTTAACGTTAAAATAATAGTTTAGCCGTTTACAAGTATAAGAAGAAGAAGAAGTAGTCCATTTCCATTTCTGTGTATTAAATTGGTGAACCAATATTTGCTTAGCCTGTTAGCCATATATATACCACATTTTAAAAATCCCGAGACCCATTTTATTTTATAATTCTCCTTTACCCAAACCGACTCAAATTGATTGAAGTATACGAAGCCAGGAAACTGAATTGCTAAATCAAACTAAAGAAAAAGGGGAGAGGACAACCGATAGAAGAGGAGAAAAGATTAGAGGAAGGGAAAGGAGGAGTATTACCAGGTAAACCCGGATTTAACTACCGATTGCTTTTACTTCGAGTTGTATAGACTGTTTTGTGTTCTATTTTAGTTTGGGTATTTGAATTGGAGATTAAAATCAGTGAATTGGATTGAGGAGCCAGCGTTGAGTCGAGGGGGACTTGATGACGAGCTCGTTGATTTCTTAGGATTAATATTTCTCCAAATCTCTTGTTTCTTTCTGTTGTTTTGATGTTGCTGTTTACTTCTTGGTTTACTGTAATTGATTGGCCCAAGGGAGAGAGAGAGGCCTATGGCCGAATGTATTGAAACCAAAGCAATGAATAGAGGAAAGAAGATAGGTAATGGTTGTTTCTATTGTGCTATGTTTTACTAGTTGCATGTCATATTTAGTTGCTAAGGTTTTGTAAGGAGCACGCAAATGGTTCCTTGAGAGTCTGGAAATATAAACTATGTCTTTAATTGAAATTAAGGGAATGAACAAGTGTAAGGAATTTGGTCATAAGGAGTCGGAAAATCCTGATTTAAGTTGTTGCGGTGAAGGGGTCAAATATCGTCTCGTAGATTTCTTTCTCTGTTTATATTTTGAACCAAACTCTTCCCAAATTATCAAGATTTGTTCCAGTGTTTATTGTTTTTTGAAATGGTCTGATGGATCTTTTAAAATACTTGTCCAAACGACGTATGTTGCTGGTTTTATTTTTAGAAGTGCAGAAAACCAGATTTGAGCCCCTCTGTTGTCAGGCCTGTATCTCCTATGTCTTGAACTCTTTTTCGGATTTTCTTTTTATGAAACTGCTCTTCATTCAGTGTACTTTGATACGGTTTTTACGGATTCTAAAATGGACTTCTACTTTGTCCGGAAACCTCATCTGAACATGACCTGTTTCACGACTGAAACCGCAGGAAAACCAGACCCGACCTGTTCTGTTAACGAGCCTATTTCTCCTTTGTTTTAAACTCTTTTTCAGAATTTCTTTTTGGAAAACCCTTCTTCATTGAGTGTAGTTTAATGTGGTTTTTACGGATTATTAAAAGGAGTTCCGGTTTGTCCAGACATTGGGTCTGAAGTTGACTTATCAGTCGCTGAAAATCTGAAACTCCGTCAGGAAATATGGTCTGAGTTACTGTTTTAAGGGGCTTCTTTCTTCTGATTTTTAAACTTCCCTCTGTGATTATTTTTGGTAAAACTCTTCTCTGGTTATCCTAGTTTACTATGGCCTTGACTACTTGTTAAAAGGATTAATGGTTTGTTCAAAACTGACCTCTGAATACAGCCACTCTATCACTTCATTTCTGAAAATTCAGAATGTAGAAGTTGTAATGTTAAAATTGAATAACCTTTCCTCTTTGACCTCAAATCTTTTTCTAAAAAAACTCTGCTGCTCTCTTTCTTTATCTGCTGAGGTATATTGTATAGATTATGGTCTCCAAAAATGATGCCAGAGTCTCTTCAAACGACAGTTAGAACTTGGAGGGAATGAGAGTTCATTATCGGAGGTGAGTGCTCCTCCTGGGACTTACATGTGATTGTCTCCCTTTATTGTGCTTTAATATTGTTGGTATTATGATTGATCAAATGAACGAATGCATGTTATCTTATGATCCCTAGTGTACTCTATCACTATGGGATAAATGTTATGTGCTTAGTGACTATGAAAGATTTGTGAAATAATTGTGTCGATGTGCTTGAGTGATAATGTGATTATTTGATGTCAATGAGCTAGTGTGACAATGTGAATGTATATGCCACTGTGTTTGTTTGAGAAGGTGTTATTGATTGTACCAATGTGTCAAGAGTGATAATGTGAAATGAATGTGCTTACTTGTTAAAGTGACAATGTGAAAGCAATAAAAGAGACTGAGAATGATATCTCGGGTGTACTTTATCACCCCAGTGAAATGAAATGCAATGAAATCGTATTGAATGATTGAATGTCAATGTGTGTTTGTTGCTCGAGTGACTAATGCTGCTCGAAAACTGGGCCCATTGCCTTGTTTTGTGCAAAGCCTAGCATGCCGGTATTGGGCTTGGATGTTAATGTTAGCCGCCTCGGTCAGTGAATGTGGTACTCATGAGTATCTAGTGGTGGCGCTAGTGTTGGCCACAGGGGATATAAGGTTTCTAATGGTGGCGCTAATGTTGGCCACAAACGTTAATGAAATGTCAATGTCAATGGCAGCAATGCCAACGTCAATGACAGTTGACCTCTGGTTTGGCATTTTCGCTTATATGCCACATAGGTGTTTAGCAGCCCTCACTGTGTCCATGTATCCTTCCTTGTTTGAATGATGGCCCTGGCCGGGTCAGTGATTGTTCTTTCAACTTATGATTATAATGTATCGTTTAATGCTTAATGAAATTGTGTATTGAATGCTACTGTTGAGATGATTGTGTGTATAATGTTCTTTAATGAAATTGTGTATGGAATGCTACTGCTGAGATGATTGTGAACCACTGAACCTTTCTTTGAGCTTACATGATGAGGATAAAGTTCAGTTTCATATTTTCGTTTGAATTACTTCCTTGAATCTAAATGATGATAATGCCCTATTAAACATGGAACTCTGTTATGATCGTTTCTTTTGAAATGCTTACGAGCATTTGAATATGTGAAAATTGCATATGTATAGTTCAATAGATTAGGATAGAGAGGACCTCACTGAGCGCTAGCTCATCCCTCTATATTTTACCTTCACCGTCCCAGGTTTAATAGGAGAGCATGACAGCGAATTGAACACGAAGATAGAGTATGGTGTTCACCATGTGTATTGTCTAAGTTTAGGCCTTTGCAAATTATGAACTGATGCATTCTCAGTTAGAGTTTTGCAAACTGATGTATAGTTTTTGCCAAAGGCCCTTTTGTAAGGAGTGTAGCTATTGTGTAAACGTTAATAGTTAATAATAAGTTATTTATAATTTATTTCTGTTCCATGATGCCTTGAGCGAGAGATCGCTCGGCGGGCGGCCCTTAAGAATTTTAAGTTCGCTTTAATTTGAGCTTAAAATTCGGGGCCGTCACAGGCAGAGTTCTTTCGAGCAGGTTCGGACACCGAAAATAATTCGAACTGTTAGATTTTGTTCTTTCTTTCTTTTGTTTAATTCCCAATTGATTTTCAATTCTATTTTTAGGTTTAATCTTTGTGATCTTGATATTAGGCATGGAAGTTTTCATCCTAATTCGGAGTAGCTTCATATTTGGAATCATATTGATGTTCAGTGTTAGCCAGGTGAGTTGGCCCCTTGAGTCTCCTTTCTAATCTACCGATTAACTTCATTCTTTTTGGTGCTCAAATCTGAACCATTTTCTTGTAGATATGTTTTTTTTCCCGTTTATGTCTTGGTTTGCTTGTTCACCTTATATTAATGTAAGGAGTTTACTTGAATAATCATTGTCAATTTTTTTACCTTATTTTTTGTTTTGTTTAATCAATTCATTTTTGGTCTGTGTATTAGCTGCTGTTTTGATCTGTTTGTCTGATTGTTGAATTTCTAGGGTCTTGAAAATTTCGTTGCGAAACCCTACTTTGAAGATCATGAAATTCTTAATGATTTAGAATTTGGGAGATTTTTGGATAGCAAGGTTCAACTCAGCTCATGCCAAATGTTGTCAACTAAACTTAATGATGAGCCAAAAATGATAGCTTCACACAGGAATCTAATTGGTGAAGGTTCGCACCGTCGTCTAGTGACATCAATTACATTAGAATTCGAACCATCTGTGCACTCTTTTGCAGTGGTTGTTATTGAGAGACTCCCCTCTGGAGTTTTTGCAGATCCATTTGAGTTGCAACGTCTCGTCCTCCGAGGAGGTAGATCACTTGCAGTCTGAATTTGATATATAGAATTACCATTTTATTTGAGGTATACTTGGTCAATAATTTTCACCGTTTCTTGCAGTATTGAAGGATGCAGCTGTATTTGGTGACACCAATCTGGAATTACCTTCATTTCGATCAAATAGATCACTAGTTGAGGTACATGTTGGGATAAGTCCAGAATTGCATTCAGGAGTTCATTTCCAGAAGGAAGTCAAAATTGAACTTCCGTTGCATGCACGCTATCAGGTATGTGATTGAGGACATTCATGTTCTATATTCATCTTTTGGTTTAAATCGTGTTCACTTGTGTTGAGAAAATAGCATTTTCTAAGTGAGTAGTGATACTCTTAACCCAAAACATTGTGAGGAGTCCCTCCTTAAGCCGGTTGCACTGTGTAGATTATTGACGGAAATGTTGCATCTTCCTTTTGACAGCCCTTAGGCCATGGCTTTTCAGTAGTTGAATTTGGCAAACCCGATGTATTGTTGCGCTACAGAGTGGAAGAAAATTTGCTTAACAGGAGCTGTTTAGTTGTTCCCACTAATCAAAGTGTCCAGTCTGAAGATGGGCGTATAGATTGGGAAGTGCCTTGTGGTAACAAGGAACACACACAGATTGTTGCAGTTGTTACATTTGCTTCAGCTGTTTTGTCGGCTTTTCTCATTATCTTGACCTCTGTTTCTTATTCAAACTTTGCTATTGCGTCTGACTTGAAACAGTCCTAGTATGTTGAGCTGATCATTTTTTGTCCGGGGACATCCAGTTAGGTTAAGTCTGAGTATGCCCCGAATAGTTTGGGCATGTGCCTGTTTTTAGTGTAGGCTTCCCCCATTTGATTAGCCTAAGCTTCATATGGGGCTCATCTGTTTCCCACTTGAAAGATATAGAGAGATGAAGAGTTGCACAGTTGCAGTTACTTCAATAGTTTAACACAAGTATTGTTTGGTCTTACATACATTTTGCAAATTGGGCTAGCGATTGAGCTAAAAAGCCGAAAACATTAAAGTGACGATTAATCCAATAACATTTAAAATCAATTTAATTCACATTGTTGATCGCCAGAGAAGAGTAGCCTACTGCAAGTACATTATACCTTTGGACGGACAGAGCTAATGACTGGACAGTTCACAATTAAATTGGGCAATATTACAGTCTTGGACTCTTGGCAGCAAAAATATTTTCTCCAGCGCACACAGGATCATCACACTTCACTGCATCAGGCGTCGTTTATCTCTTGCGATAACGTTTGGCTCTTTTTAATTGTTTCTGGTTTCTATTTGTCTTGTTCTTCAGTTCCATGATCTTATAGTGGTCCCAAAGTCGACCAATTTACTAATCAAATTAACTCGGGACCCGTCGTCAGATTATTAACTTATATCTCGTTATCGATGTCATGACGCAACTAGATAATTATACTTTGATACAAATATCAAAACCAATGTAAGTTATTTTTTTGATACAAACGGAGTATTTCCTCCAATTCTTAATATAAGGCATTTTGATTTGTCTTAAGTTTTATCTAGTACACATTTGTAATTTACAAAAAAATTTACATATTTTCACATTTATTGTGTTCTCTTGATTGTTATAAAATATTTTTAAGATTATATTGTCAATTAAAAATGCGTAATAGATAAAACTTAAGAAAATTAAAATACTTTATATTAAAGACCAGAGTAAGTATATTCTAAGTTTGCCTGAAAACTAACACTAGTAGTATAGCTCATAGTCCGCTAAATTATTGCTACTGAATTTCCATTATCCAGTTCGTTATTTTATTCCTAGCAATATTCCTCCAAGAAGTTTTTGTGTTATAATTTATTCCCTCCTGTCCTTATTATAAAGAATTTTGATTTTGTCCTAAATTTAACTTAGGATATTTTTTTAATTTAAAAAAAAATCTTAAAAATATATTTTCAAATTCGTTATTCTCTTAATTATTATAAAATATTTTTAAAATTTTTATTTCAATTAAAAGAATATCCTACGTGAAACTTAGGACGAAATCAAAATGCCATATAATGAGCGGAGGGAATATTAATTGCAGCTGAAGTGATGAAATATCACAGAATCATGATCATCGTAGAAGCTGAGCTGATGAAGCGTGCTATTCTATGTTTCAAATCTTATGAAACAAACAAAAGATATTAATATGGTGGGTTAATTAGGATCTATACACATGATAAATGAAACACTTTGGCAATCAAAATTTATGAAAGGAGTCACCCACAATTCAACAAAAGGAATTAGTCGTTGTGTACAGTGAATATTTTGTAAATACGGAGGGGAAATAAAAGTTCGGAAATGATTCAAAATTTCAATTAAACTTCTAGCTCAATTTTGAAAAAAGGATACCTAGATATGAACGAATTTAAGTTGTGAAATTGCATGAGTTCTGCTGATCTGATCTCCGAAGAACTTATTTGCAGGGTATCAACGAAATTGTTTTTTTTTTTTTTTTGGGTTCAAAAATTGAACTCATGTTAACGATAATGTGTACTGGATTCTCTCATACTACTATATTTTGCCTCAATATATTCATCAATTTGAATAATTTGGATGGAGAGGGGATAAAAGCATACAATACAATATAGCTGAGTCTCTTTCTTATAATTTGAAATTAATCAGTTTGAAAATAGTTTATAATTTTGAAGGCTGAAAACTTCAAATACTTAGTCCGTTGTAAGATGAAATTTCAAAAAGATCAAACCTTAAAAGTTCCAAACATAAAAACACTATGGATAAAATAAAAAATAAAAAAAAATCAAAATAAACGGTAGCGCACAATCTTATGTGGAAAAAATATTGTGGTTTGTAAACCAAAGAATAAACCAATGAAAATTTGAAGCTTGAATACGAGGTTACGTGACAAGAAAAGCTAGAAAAAACACTAAGCAGCAGTTAGTCGTACGTTATACTCGAATCATTTTTTTGACATCCAATATATTTACTCGCAATCTAGATGTTGAAAAATAATCATAATAATAAGGATGTTAATTTAACCACTTCTTAACTTATGCATTGTTCATGTTGGTCGATGGATCATTTTTTGTGTTTCTTGCATTATAAGTCACAGGTGATATTATGACTTTTAAGGAATCTAACCTCTTTCTTTTTCTTTTTTTTTTACCAAAAATGAATCAAATAACACATTCATTTGGATCAAAAGGGAAAAGGGATGGGAAAAAAAAACGTGAATGCTAATAATAAATTTGAGACACTTCAAAAATGGTAATCGAAGAAAAAGTAATGTAAAAAAAAACCAGGCATGCAACTGAAACAACAGTGAAGATGAACCTCTTATTGTAAACATCAAATCTTATTATTACTTGATAAAAGAAAGAGTACAAGCTAGCTTGATTATTCATCATCTAATCTATCTTCCAAGAAATGATCAATTACAATTTACAACATTGGTATTGTTCTGTAGCAAGCTAGCCAGTAGCAAATCAAAATAGCTCCTGGATTCAATCATCAATAATGGTAAGAGCAAGAATGAGAGTACGTTCCATCAGGAAACTTTTGATAGGTGCATTTAGGACCCGGATTTGAACCGGAATTGGAGTTGGAATCGGAAGCCTGATCCCCACAGCTCCACGAGTATGAATTTCCATTGTTACTGCGATGGCAATTCTTCGGCATACCCGACCACGGGAACAGCCACGGAGGAGTCGTCTTCGGAGGCGATTGATCATCATCATCATGGGTAGGAGGATTGGCGGCGGGTGTGTGCGGCGGAGGAGAATTGGAGTTGGAATTAGAATCGTGACCGTTACAACTCCAGGAGAAGGAATTCCCCTTGTTACTCATATGGCAATTACTACCCGGCGGAACCCCCCACCACGGGAATGACGGCGGAGGAGACGACGACTGATCAGGTGGTGATGGTGATGGAGCAGCCTTGGGAGGAGGAGAGCCGCCGCCGGCGCATGGCGGCAGCGGAGGTTGGTCATCGGAAGGAGGAGGAGGGGCGGTGGTATGTGGAGGAGATTGATGAACAGGGGAGTTTCCTCCAGGTTGTGGATTTGGTGCACATGAGGGATACATATGATATAGCGCAAATGGAGGCATATTATATGCCCAAGGCGGCAGATTATCGCAATCAACCGAGTTTCCCCATCCCCATGGTGGAAACCACCATTGTAGGAGTTTCCTGGTTTGAAATGCAGAGCTCTGATTCAGCACCAGTGCTAAGCAAAGGATTGAGAGCAGGGAAAACGGCTTCATCTTTTTGAAAAGAATTGGGAAAAACGGAGCCTAGTGGGTTTGTTTTGTTTTCTCTGTATTGGATTTGGATTTTGGGATGAAGAGGAACAGAGAGCAGGGATGGGCTTTTATAGGAGTTTGCATGGAAAGATTTCAATTTCAAACACTTCTTTTTCTTGTTTAATCCTGATTGATCTCGTTTGTTAATTTTCTACCTTCATCATCTTTTTAATTATCAAAAATAGTATTGTTTCATCGGATTTGATGATGTCACGTCTGTTTTCAAAATTGGCCAGGTATGATAATGATATGATACAATGACCAAATTTTCTAAGCTTCTACTTAGTCACCAACTCTGGATGTCAGCATCTACAACTTCAGTCAAAAAAATTCTTTGGACAGCAGAATGACCTCATGTTTTTGCGGAAAAGTTTGAAACAAAGAACAGTGGCAGAATATATATGTATATATATATATATATATATGTATATATATATATATATGTCAGTCAGTGTTCATGAATCATGCTATAAGCAGGGATCTTCTCAACTCCAGTATCGTCCATAACTCTCCTCAGGGCAGCAGCATTGTCCCATTTCTCTGCCCCGGCATAAATGCTCGACAATTGCACGTATCGGCCACAATCTCGCGGTTCTAGATTCAGTATACGCTCCCCTATTTCATCGGCCATTTGGGTTGCTCCATGGATTCTGCAGGCACCAAGAAGAGCCCCGAGAACAGACGCATCAGCCTTGAAAGGCATGTTTTCCATAAACTCATATGCTTCCTGAAGCAATCCAGCTCTTCCCAGGAGATCAACCACACATCCGTAATGCTCCATCTTGGGAACAATGCCGTACTCAGAACTCATCGAGTGGAAGATTTCCATACCCAAATCCACACGACTGGCCCGTGCACAACCAGATAGAAGACCAATGAAAGTAATTTCATTCGGAGACAAACCTTCTCTCACCATGGCGATGAACATTCCAAATGCATCCTTTTCCCTACAATGCAGAGCAAGTGAACAAATCATAGCATTCCAAGTACAAACCCCTTTAATTGCAATCATCCCGAATAATCTATCCGCGTAATCAAAACAATCCATCTTGCCGTAAAATGCTACCAATGCGGTTCCCATGAAAACACTCAACTCCCTCTCATTCTTAACCATATATCCATGTACTTGTTTCCCAAGTTGCATTCCTTTTCCACCCTCCAAATTAGCACAACAAGATAGAACACTGACAAGTGTAGCTTCAGTAGGCTTCATCAACCCGCTTACAACATCTCCGTCCACCATCATCTTCCCAAAAAACCCGAGTGCTTCCCCAAAACGTTCGTTCCGAGCCAACCCATTGATCAAACTCGTCCACGAATACACATCCCTATTCGACATTCCCGAAAACATCAAAACCGCGGAATTCATATCCCCATTCTTCCCAAAGGCATCAATCATAGCATTATGACAAACAACATTCGGTTGGAGAATTTCATCAAACACTTTACGCGCACTCTCTAAATCACCTACATGGGCGCACAGAGAGATGAAAGATGTCTGCATATAAGGGTCATACCAGACCCCTCTTCTGAAAGCTTGCGCCCCGAGCGGCTTCCCGGCAAGTAAAGCAATGGGAGGCAAAAGGGTCGCTGAAGATTTTATGAGGAAAGGGAAAGTAAGGTGATTTGGGAGGGCATTGTGACAGAGCATGTGCCTGAACAGAACAAAAGTGCTCTGGGGTTGGAAAAGACAGTAGATTCTGATGAGGGAATTGTAGAGAAGAGTATTAGTCCATCTGGAAGTGATGTGAAGGTGACCATTTGTGATAATGAGGGAATGGATTTGTTTGATCTTTCTGGAGTTTGTGGAGTTTTTGATGAAAGATTGGAGGAGAGTAAGGAAACGGTAAGGCGTTTGAGGAGAATTTGGCTGGTGCTTTGGCATAAAAATATATCATCAGGAAAAATCCAGATTCACAGGAATTTGAGACATTGAATCGAAGAAGACGAGATTCTTTCTGGTCCGATGAATTTCTTTTTCCGCCAAGAATCTACTGCCGCCAAATTCTCAAAACAAATGTTTTTTTTAAGCCCTTATTTACTTTTGCCGCTGTTATTAAGGAAAAAAGTAGAGGGAACACAAATTTCCATAGGCTGTCCTTATTAAAAGTTGTTTCAGACCCCATTATTCACTTTATTAAATTATTATATGCTTGGCTCGAGCGGATGTCCGGACAACTCACGCTTAATGAATCGATATGTAACAAAAAGGAAAAAGAAATGTACAAACGTATAACGCCAAAAAGGAAAAGAAATTTATATACTTTATCATGACTAAATAGTGATTATAAAAATGTACAAACATAAGTATAAAAATATGTACAACAATAGTTAAAAAAAGAAAAAGGATACACGATTGACTCTTTATTATTAATATTATTATTATTATTATTATTATTATTATTATTTTGTGGATTGTCATAATGTTATAAGAACCATTAAGATGTAAAAGAGTTTGGTGGTCTTAACAAACAGATGTTGTTTCCTTTTGTTTTCTTTTTTTTTTTATTGATTTTTTGCTCGTTTTTTGACCAGCATCTTCCAAAGTATCAAATGGTATAGTAACAAAAATGTACAATAGTTCAAAAAATTAAAAAATTGTTAACTGTACTATTTTAAACTGTCAATTGGACTTTGAAGCTAACTGAAAACATTTAATCTTTTTCTAACCGAAATCACCATTACATAATTAACTAAGAGACAATTAAATGACATAATACAACAAAATTTACAGTGTCGCAAGTGTACACATTTTTATTGAAGTTGTGCTTGTGAGGCTAATGAGGGCCAGTCGCATCACTTCCATGACCTGGACAAAGAAATCAACAAAATTAAGAAATGACCGAAGGTAATATATAGTAGAAAATACCATCTAAGATCTTTAATAGTTTTTCTAAGTTGAACGTTGTCTAGTTAACAATCCCAACTTTGGACAAAAAAACTAAAGATTTCATGGATTTGTATCCTTCTCTTTAAAACATAGAACCAAAAAAGTGACTCAACTCATAAGATTCATTCATTCATGCCTCCAACTCATAAAGACCAGACCAAAGCAAAAGCTTTAAAAAAAGTCACTTTTTAAAAACAAAATCAAACTACAACTACACACAAATTAAAGAGTCAAAATCTGACTGTTAATCACCAATTGCACCTCTTGATGCAAGTAAGACAAAGGGTACAATTATCTATCATCTTTTTCCTCATTCAAAAACATTGACCCGTATTAATCTAAATTTCAATCCTTGCAGAAAGTTCCCAATTGCAGCAGTAATTGCCACTGAAACAGCTCCACTTGTTAGAGTGTACTACTATAATAAGACCAGTACAATGGTACGTTAATACCCAGTCCAAATTATTCTCCAACATGAAACACTCTTTCATGCACTTCAACCCTCAAAAAACAAAATCAACTAACCTGGATTAGTGCTGCCATGTATTTATATAGTGTAGAGACGTATCAAAGCATCGTCTATGCTCTGTAAAGCTAGTGCCAAAACTTACCCTCGCAACTAAATAACAAACCTTAATAGGAGCTTTTACATCCGTGCATTGTGATTCCCTACACTTTGAACAGACTCTTCCTTAGTCAGGTTTATCAGCTCCAAAGGTAACCTACATCAATAACAACTTAACACTATATTTCTAAAATTAACAGATTCAGCTAAACAGATTAGCAGAGAAATAACGACAACTTGCTTGAGATCTTCATCATAATCACTTTCATCAAAAGAATATATGTCTCCAGTCCACGAAATTTGATAGCAGCACGATCATATGCTCTGGGAAAGGTATTCAGATTTTTAAACGATTTTCATAACATAAATAATGGTATCATCAATCTTAGTCTATCAGAAGAGAGTATCTAAAAAATCCACATCTTTTTCTACTCAAACCTACATCCAAAGTTTGAGGTTTTCTTACTTGTAAACATAGGAAGGCATTTCATATCATCAAAAATATGATTAATGACGTTCATCATACTGCATCTCATCTAACTTTTTTCATGATCAAAGGGAATGCTTTAATCCACTCTATCTGTCCAAATATCTTGTTTTACATTAACTTATGCAATTAAAAAAATCATGACTAATTTTCCCCTCAAAATTTTTTTAACTCTCTCATATTATAGAGAAGAGGCTAAACCATAACTATACATAGCAGTATGAACTATTTATTTACACAAAGTTTGTAATTTTACCAGATACTTGATCAAGACAATACTAAATTAGTTAAAAGAATTAAACTCACCAGTTGTTGGCCCATAGTGGTCTCAAATACACTGTCAAACATCTCTCGAAAACTTTGTACATATGAAGCAATCAAAAAATCAAACAAAATATATTAGACTCATGAAAAACTCAACTTCAATTGCACATCTGTAATCCAATGTTTGCTTTCAAACAACAACTATAACCCTTCAATTATGTTTCTTCCTTTAATTAATCAATCGACTGGATGCACTTCATACCTAAGAATCTGCTACATTACAATAAATTCATAATTATATGTAAAAATCAACATCATCAATGGAATACTTATAGATTCCCACTAAAGACATGACAACCAAATTACTCAATTACAGACTAACTATGTATCATTAAATCATATAGAGAGGGAAAAAATACAAATTAATCTGCATCAATCAATGAATGAATCAATAGATAGATGATACCACAGAAAAACTCCAACTGGAGAACTGTTTTGTTTTAGATTTGAGATATAGATACTACTTTGAATCTCAACTCGCCATGATTTCTACCCCAATTGAAATTCGATAAGATCCAACAATTGTTCACTCTCCAGTACTTAGTTAAAACATAATACAAAATAGATGAACGATCCAAATAAAGAAATTAAAATCGAGAGACATAAATAAAAAATAAACTAAAAATAAAATCACCTATAGCATCTGAAGGTTGATCGGAGCGAAGACAGCGAAGTATTTGAAGGAAATTTTGCCGCCTTGAATGAAAGGATAATGCGAACTACATAAGGGATACGGCGAAAGCTTCTGGCCGGATTTGCGAAGAGATCCTGCAAGCCGTCAGCATCATCATCAAACTTGGACGGATTTGTATTATACTCGCTAGGTTTATATTTATTTTTCTGGCAGTCAGTTTCCTCTTGGCGGCTTGATCTTTTTCGTCAATTCATTTACCGAATCTACATATTCATCTGTTGACAATAAGCCTCCCGTCCAACCCAATCGTCCTCAAAAAAAAAATAATAATAACAATAATAATAATAACAAAGATCTTTGAAGTGAATTCAAGAAAACACTGTACCATGTGGGAGAATCGTCCAATTCTTGCCGTATGTCTGTTGTTTCTGGCCAAAACTTCTTATTTGGCGAGAGAAGATTCAATGAAAAGGATTGAATCCACTCCAAAGTTGGGTCTGCTTTCAGTCAGATCTGAATGATTTTTTGAAGCATTCTGGTCAGTCTCCTTCGCTCTTTCTAATGAATGAGGACCCGATGATGAAGAACAAATTGAAAATCAAATATGAAAATCCCATAATGAGTGATTGAATCTTGATTTGAGGGATTTTGTTGATGATGCAACAACGATCGACGATGAGGAGGTGATAACTACTGGCGGCGGGGGCAACCAACAGTAACCGCCGGGCAAGTGATTGGTGATGGTGACGGACGACAGCAATCGGCGGTAGCTGTGGTTGATTGGAGTGGGACGCAGACAACAATAGCGGCAATCGACAATGATGATCGTGACAACGGCAGCCAGATTGCACGAACCTTTGCACATCGATAGTAGAGCAGCAACAATCGGAACATTGAGATTGACAGGAAGAGAACAGAGCGGCAGACAGCAGCGGCAGCAACTGGAGAATCACGATTGATGATAATGGCATTTGATAGATCGACAACAACACGGACAGCCAGCAACAACAGCAATTTCAACGGCAATGACGGACGGAACAATGATTGACAGAAGCAACCGGTGGCAGCAGCGGTGCAGTGGAGCGTTGGAATTTTGATGAATTTTGTTCTTGAGAGGAGGAATGAAGAACATAGAGCATATCGGATTCTTTATTCTTTTGAAAATTGAATTTGATTGTGAATGGTGGATTTGATTTGAGAAGATAATTTGTAAAATTAATTAGTTAGAGTGATTTGTGGGAAGTCAGTAAATACATACCGCTGAAATTGGGGAATAGTTATTACTGATTTCCTTAATCGTAGTTGATAAATTTGATTTACAGAATTATGGAACCTTGTTCTTTTTTTCGGATGAAAACAGGACATGTGGCATCTTTCTTTTACAAAAGATGTATATTTGCAAAGTTGGTAAATCTGAAGACTTTAGTTCTTTTGCAAAGTTGATTTTCAACTTCACCTTAAAGTTTTTTGAACATGTCTAATGTCTTAGTACTTGACATTAATGATATGAAAGATATCCCTGGGAAATTGTTTGTGAACATAATACAATATGCTTGACCATCTCATAAAAAATAAAAAATCGTAATGAATAGTCCACATATGACTTTATGTATTAGTTATAACAATATCTGAAAGCTTTATGGCACCCAATCTCTTTCTGTTTGTTTATTCATCTTTAGTACACTTAACGCAGATTTTTAAAATATGATAAACAAGTGACTTAAGAATTTTGGCTAACTTTATTATTTGTCTAAAGTAAGTGCCTTCAACAGTTTTATTAAAATGATATGAAATTCCCATTACCAAATTATCCTTTAGTACTACATAAATTATCATGTAATATTTGGTTAATTGAAGCAATGGTCTTAAGTAAATAAAGGTTACCACTTAACAAAGAACTGAATTGACTTTCTTTGAATTTTGAAGGAGACTAATAGACTGTTACCAAAAAAACAAAGAAACCAGATTTTGTTCAATGAGAAAATATTTTTTATGAGTTCTACCTAAAAGATAAAACAATAAAAGTCTCTCTCAAGTCCAAATAAAATTCAGTCTTTAATGATAATCTAAAAGTTTATTATCTCAACTATAATTGTCTCACCAACACTCTGCATAGATGTGTCTTTCAACATCAATTAGCTTTTGGTGATTCAAACAATCTTGCATATATACACTTATGTGAGTAGTGTTACTGGAATCCATCTACTAACTATGTTTACAGGTACTAAAATCAAATGACCTTAAAGCAAACAAAAACAATTATTATATGATTTCATTAACCCAAACAGAGAAGTACCACCACAAAAGCAGCAACCAAATTTAATTTTCGAATTTTCCTTCTTTTGTGATACCGCAACTTAATTATCCTTCTTTTCCTAATTTTTTATTTTCTGAATGTTTTAAACATAAATGAGCACTTACTTTATTATATTTATTTCCAAATGTATATCCATCTCTTACTTTAATTTCCCTTCTGGCACACAATATGAACTGAACTCATTAAGAGTCCTCTTCTACTAATAACAGTAAAACTTTTCTTAACCTAAATGCTCTGTGTTTGAGAAAGATCAACTATAACTTTAGTGTCTTTAGTCTTAATTAGAGATAATATTTTTAAATAATACATTTCCGTATGTTCCCATTTTCCTTATACCTTATGGAAACAAATTACCCAGAAAGAATACCCGTTTCTACCTTTTTTTTTTGACAAAATACTTTATAATAGGAACAAGTTTGCATTATTTTATAGTGCTCATTAATGTTTGTAACATTTTATGTTTCCCTCTAGTTCCTGAATCGTAATGGAGTTATTTGAAGCAGATATTATAATTATAGCGGAATCAACTGTATTGAAAAATAATCAAACACAAGCTCACTTTTAAAACTTGATATAACATGATTGATAAATTCAAATTGGCTCTCCCCTTTTACAAGATACCTAATGCAGCATTGGGTTTAGTCTTTGGACAGAAACATCAATTTGCAAGTGGTACTCTTGGCGTAGGAATCAAATATTGACAACTCAATTCTGTCAAATAATAAGACTTTCTTTGGACCGACTTATTATTCACATAAAATAATTGTCACATATTTATTATTACAAGCATATTTCGATTTTGACCAAATAATGACCTTCCTCTAGGCCGGTCATCACCCGCATGAAACCAAAACACATGCAACTGCCATCTTGCTATTTTAAATTAATTGATCAACACAAAATAGGTCACTTTGGTGACATAATATATTAATCAATCAATTTAGATAATACTAGATGTCCAAAGATAGATTTTATTTGTACCAATTTTAAATTTATATCACATTAATTAACTATTGTAAAATATTTAGAATATAAATTTTCTTTAATCAACGGAAGGTTGACCGGAACTTCATAGATCAAACGACATCAAATATATGCAGATATTTAAAATTAGATACTGCAATTTGATCACAGAAATATAAATCCAAAACTTTAAAACTAAAAACCGAAACAATCAACGTTGTCAAGTATGTTATGCAACCCATCACCAAACCAAGCTACGTACATATATAATTTATGCCCAATACTTTTTTTTTCGAAGGTTTAACTCTGAAGTTCCACCAAAATTGAAGACCTAAGCTCAAATACAAATCACTATGGTGAAACCCAATACTTTTTTCATCGTATTTATTTAAGAAACTAAATCACTATGGTGGGTGATTTAATCTGTGAAAATAGACATAAAATGTAAGGACAAATACAAATCACCACATTGATCAACCCTACTAAGCTAAGATGACCTAATAGATGAGTTACAAGCGGTTGATACAAGGGGACAAGGTGTTGGATGTGTCGAATGTGGGAGGCGTTTGGCGAAATGCGAGTGGTTAATTAAACCACGGAATTTGAGATTGAGGAAAAGATTGGGTTTGCTATGAAGGGTGTATTTATCTTCACTTGATTTGAGTTTGGAATAGATGATCGAGATTACATTTCTCAAACAGTTAATTGTTGCGGGAAATATATAGTTTGAGAAACATCTTGCAAACAGCCATATAGTGAAAGGGTTCATTTGCAATTTATTTGATCGTATTAACGAATCGAATCCATTTGGCGGGACCGAAAGTTTTGTAGTTTGTACTCCACTTTATAGGTATCTACAAGAGCAACAAAATTAGAATTAGGCCAAAATGGAAGTGATATTAGTTGAACGGTTGAATCCCACCAAACTTCACTTCACATTGCCGACCCTTATCCCATCCAAAAAAAGAAATTTCAAATTTGTATATAAGGACAACAAAAAGACTTATTTTGATGCCCAAGTTCATGCATGTCTTCTTACGATGATTGTCATCTTTACTTTGTTTAGAACTAAATTTGGTACGAAAAAAAAGAAATGGGGGGACAGAATTGAAAAAAAAATAAAAAAATTTATTTAGTTGCAGTGTTAATACGAATTTAAAATAGGACTAGAGTAGGGTTTGAACTATTTTGATCGCATTCATCAAGTTAGAATTTGGTCCATTCTATCGTAACAACAAATCGATTGTTTGTACTAATCTGTTCAAAATAAAAGTTATATTTCTTTCATTGTTTTAAATCAATCGATCAAACTCTAAATTTGAGGTGGAACAAGTAACTGTAATAAGCACCAGATCTCCACTATTTGGTCAGTTGATTTTGTTAGTTGTGTTCCCTATGGAACAGAATCATCATCTTCCACTTGATGTGGGTCCACTTTTCTCAGATCCTGAACGTTATTGACGTTTGATTGGTCGTTTACTTTATTTGGCTGTCACTCGTCTTGATCTCTCCTATAATGTGCATATGTTAGCCCAGTTTATGCAAACTCCCGCTCAAGCTCATTGGAACGCTGTCCTTTCGCGTGGTTCGTTATTTGAAGTCCTCTCCTAAGGTATTTTCCTTCATCCTGATAGTAATCTTCAGTTGTATGGTTGGTGTGATTCTGACTGGGCAAGTTGTCCTTTGTCACATCGTTCTCTTACTAGTTGGTTCATTACACTGGGTCGTTCCCCCATCTCTTGGCGTACCAAGAAACAACAAATTGTGTCTCGTTCTTCTGCTGAAACTGAGTACCGGACTATGACAAATACCGTTGAAGTGGCTGAAATCTCTCTTGTTCAGTCTTGGTGTTGCACAATCTCGTCCTATGCGTCTATACTGTGATAGTCAGTCCGCCCTGCATCTCGTGGCTAATCCAGTTTTTCACGAACGTACTAAACATATTGAGGTGGATTATCATTTTATTCGTGATGTCTTTCTTCAAGGTGTTATTGCTCTTAGTTATGTATCTTCTCAAAACCAATTGGCGGACATCTTTGCCAAAACTTTGGGTCAGTGCGTCTTTACTTTTCTTATGTCCAAATTGGATATTCGTAATCTGCATGCTCTAACTTGAGGGGGGTGTTAGACTATATGTTTATAAGGTTAAATATGTCTTTGTATGTTGTGTTCCGGATGGTTTTTTCGGTAAATTCTAACCCTAATTGTATTTGTGTATATATGGCCGTCTTGGTCTCACCGTAATACACATGATTTTGATCAACCTAATTACTATTTTCTTCAGATTTTGACATTTTTTTTTATGTCCAAATTAGTTTGTAGTATATTTGTAGTCCTAAGGTGGTGGAAATTTCCGTTGCAACTTCACGTGCTGGAAATGTTCAAATTTGGTTGCTTAATTCGCAGCCCTGCCCCAGAGGGGAGAGAGAGACTTTGTGGTATTCATTTGTTTCACACCTGCCTTCTATTTCTACTAGCTCCCATAAATATACAAACTACTATTTTAGAATATAGAAGACCAAATTCCTATTTAGTTTGTTAGTGACAGTTAGTGGTTCATTTCTTTTATTTTTAGGTCAGATAGAGATGGCTAATGAGGTAAGCAGCTAGATTTGATTTAGTATTGGATTATTACATCTTTGTCACTTTAATTTTGTTAGTAAAAGTCTTCGTGCTTAACTTTTTTTTTATGGGACTAGGTTTTCGTCAAATTCAGCGTACAGCATATCGTTCGTCAAATCTCAGATCTCGTAAATACTGGGACGAGTTCCTTGTAAATCAAGCATTAATGAAATAAATAGATATGTTTTATTACTTCATAAGGCTGCTCCTGCTCTTATTTTAGATATAGCAAAACATGCACTTCCTCTCCGGGAAATTCGCCGTCGACCATCTTTTGCTCATCGGTGTTCATTGAAATTCCGACGTATTAATTTTGCCTTCATTCACTCCAAAGGATGTAAATTTAGTAATTAAATTTAAGATGCGTAACGTCAAGTTATTGACTTGCTGCCGCTTAGCCATCGGCCGACATATTTTAATTCTGAGTGAATGTCTCGTTATTATTATAGGTCAATGCCTAAAGGTATTATTATTGAATAATTCCAAATTCAGATTTATTACAGTTTTGACAATTTTTTAAGGGGCAGAAAAAAAAAAGTCAGTTCAGTTAATTTGTTCATGTCACTTAGGTTTATCTGTTGTTTACTTTTAATAGTATATTAAATTCTTATTATTTGTATGCAGCTATATAGTTAAGAACTGAATGGGCAATTTTAGTTCTATGAGTCTAATTTGGTGACTTGTGCGGATTGCAAGAATGTCAAACCTGTTGTTGTTTCTCTTTCCCTTAGTAGGAAATTCATCTTCACGATTTTACTAATTTTGGTTCCGCTAAGAAAATGAACTATTTTTTTTTATTTTTTTTTTTGGAAAGTAAATGAGTTTTCACTAACTTGTCGAGAAGAAGCCGTCCAGCATGGAATGATGATGAGCATTGAGTCAAATCGATATAGAGATACTGAAACAAGTTCTCAAAGTTTGGATCAGAAAACGGGGACTAAAAACTGATACCCCTTAGACACGAAGGGCTAAAAAGCTTCTTCAATTGATCATAACCTATTTGTTTGTCTTCGGAATCTCTCTTTTTTGTTAATTAATACTTGTCAAAGGTCGTTAATTCAGTTAACAGTACACCATGGTCCCATGTTTGAACATTTGAAGCATCAAACTTTTCAAACTCCCACCAAATGTTGTTGTTCTAAAACTTCAAGTACATTCTTTATTCAACTAAAAACATACTTGGTACTAATTAATGGATTAGTTCTTATTAGCCAATCAAATGCTACTTTAAATAAGGGTTGATCATCTCTTCAAGTTTTGTAAAATTAAGAGTCACATATTAGACCAAGTCATTTTACCAAAACGTGGCCTCTATGTCTTTATCTTAAAGGAAAACATCCTCTTTTTTTTTGGGTTTGGTATAACTCTAAATGCTTTGTATTGGCACTGATCTTCCTTTCTTTATTTCCCTCCCTATCCTAAAGATTAGCCGTTTTTTTGATTTCTTGAATGTCTGGTTTGTGTAAAAGTCACGAATTTGGTCTCTCTTTTGGAGTTTTTGAACCTTGTTTTCTTGGTTCTTGATAGTCAAGGCCCATCTTCAAGATTGGTCTTTTGAAGGATCTTGAAGAAAAGTCTTGCACAAGGGAGATGTAAATGTAAAAATGGGCAGTCATTATTAGTAGTTAAGGTTTAGGTATTCATTCACATGAAATTGGTTTTTGTCACAGAAAAAAGGAGTTTTACAGATAGCTGAGCACACTTTTTCCAACTGCTTCAGTAATTGCAGAGCTGTTTTTTTTTTTAAATCTATTAAGGTGTAGTTCTACAGAGTGTGAGAAGGCTCAGTTTTAGAGGAAGAGGTTGAAATTTTGTTGTGGCTGTTAATGTCCAGTTTTAGGTTTGGGGAATGGATCATTCTGCAAAAAGTGATGATAACAAAGCAAAATATGAAGTAACAAAGGATAGCAATGGAGTTCAGCAAGTTCTGCTTCGAAATCCTCGAGGGGCTTCTGTGAAGGTATGAATGTGAATTCTGCAATTTGGTCATTTGGTTCGATGTGTGGACGATTATGAGCTCTTTTTTTGCATTTGCAGATTTAAAATAGTTTGGATTGAGTTTCTAAAATTATGTCAATTATACACTGTTATGGCCAGGTTAGCTTGTTCGGCGGGCAGGTTGTTTCATGGAAGAAAGAAAATGGTGAAGAATTACTCTTCACCAGTAGTAAGGTATGAATTCTGAATTTCTGATGCAGGTTTTTGCCCTGTCATTTTCATTTATATGTCGGATTGACATTGACATATTGCAAACTTTGAAGAGGCAAATGTCATCTCCAGTCCATCATTATGTTTCAATTCCATTTGTTTCCGGATAAGGAAAAAATTTGATCATCCAGAATGTGAAGCGAAACACCTTAGCAGATTCATGATAGTTTGTGAATGATTTGCGGGATTTTGATATAATTTCAGGCAAATTTTAAACCACCAATGGCAGTCAGAGGTGGAATTCCTATTTGCTTCCCTCAGGTACTGTGATTTATATGAATATCTTTAGTTTGTTCTGCTATCATATCATGATTTCTGATAGAGATTTGTAAAGCATTTGGGTGTCTCTATTTCATGCAAAACAGTTTGGCAACCGCGGTATACTGGAGCAACATGGATTTGCCAGGAACAGGATGTGGATCATTGATGAGAATCCTCCACCTCTTCATCCCAATGATTCCAAAGGGAAATCATTTGTCGATTTGCTGTTTACGCCATCTGAAGAAGACCTAAAGAGATGGAATCACAGGTATCATTTGATACTTGAATGCATTCAAGAGCTGTTCTTTTTTTCTTTTTCTTTGGACTTCCACTCTTAGTATTGTTCCTTTTTTGTCAGCTTTGAGTTTCGTCTTAGGGTTGCTCTGGACTTTGACGGATATCTCACGATGATATCACGTGTGAGAAACATCAATTGCAAGCCGTTCAGCTTCTCAATTGCTTATCATACCTATTTTTCCATCTCTGATATCAGGTAGACATCTGATGTGCATATTTTATAAGCTTCCTAGTCTCAGACTCTTTACTAGTTTGTACTTCTATACTTAGGCATATCTAAACTCAAGTTCTCCCAATGTTGAGGTTTCTCTTCAGTTAAAATGTCAGTTTCATTAGTAAAAAAACACAAGAAATACAAATCAGGTATCGGATCTTACGGGACCCAAAGCAAAATGTAGAAGATCAGAGTACAATTTTGCAATGGAGATATGGTGTTAATGATGTTCTCTGTAGTTTGAAATGCTATGGTCTATTCCAGTTTATTTAATTAATGATTTTAGGCTTGAAATTTAGCTGAGGAAGTAATTGTAATTGTAGTGAAGTGCGAGTGGAGGGACTGGAAACTCTGGACTATCTTGACAACTTGCAGCAGAAAGAGCGTTTTACTGAGCAAGGAGATGCCTTGACTTTCGAATCTGAGGTAAACAAGGTTTTTTTATCCCCAGATATAGATTCTAGTTACCGTGTTCTGATGGAGTACAATGACAATACATAATCCATATAACCGACCTCACGTGGTGGGATAATGTTCAAGTCCTGTTCTAGTATGTTATGATAATGCTCTAGGTCTGATATTGCACCATTAACATTTGAATCTGTCATCTGAAGAGTACTAATCTTGATGAGCTCTTGAAACTCATTTGCCTTTTGAAGCCACAAACTTTTGAGGAGTTTCTTTACGAATGAACCTTAGAATACATTACAAGATTAATCTTCAACTTTCAGTGGCTAACGCTCTATTAAACAAACAAGGCACAAAACTATGTGGAAGATTGAAATATTCTTTTTCACACAACTCTAACACGCTTAAACGGATCAGAACTTGAATCAGTCTTATTTCATTTTATTGCAGATAGATAGAGTTTATCTCAGTTCCGAAGATGTAATTGCAGTCCTTGATCATGAGAAAAAACAAACCTTTGTCATAAGGAAAGAAGGACTACCTGATGTGGGTAAGTTGAAATTTCCATCTTAAGACTCAATGAAGCTCATATATGTGTAAATGACACACATACATAGGTTCCTTTTGTCCTCAGGAATTTGTCATAAAACTTGCAGCCTTATCATTCTGTCTACTGCCTAGCATATCTTCAGACTTTAAAATACTTGTCCATTTTGGACTAGTTAGCTAACATTACTTTCCTGGTTTTCCTTTCAAAGTGGTTTGGAATCCTTGGGAAAAGAAATCAAGAGCCATAGCTGATCTTGGAGACGAGGAGTATAAGCAGATGCTCTGTGTCGATGGCGCTGCAATAGAGAATCCGATAAATTTGAAGCCAGGTGAAGAGTGGACAGGACGATTGGAGTTGTCTGTTGTGGCGTCAACATAATGCATTGAAGCGTCACCTAGATCACAACAACCCAAGCCATCAATACTGATTTTGAACCTATAGAAGCATTTGCAATTCTTAAGTATCTGGTTAATACATCATCGTGTGACTATAGTCTATGCTAACATCTGTTGCTGCTGCTCCTTTCTGGTGGCTACATTTCAAAGTAATAGCTTTTGGAAATAGTACTATGATATGGGGAAATTTTATTTTGAGGTTCCCCTCCAAGTTGATCAAACATGCTTGTAAAACTGGCATTATTGATGTATATGAAACATTTACTAATTGTACTACTACTTTTGAAGGTGTATGAAACATGAGTTGCTCTCCTAGACAATTTGAACTATGAAATTATTTGTGGAAGAAAGGATGAATATGAACTTGATGATAAAATTTAGGTACAACTACAAAGGAAGTGATAGATTAACAAGGTAGTTATTAAGATAGAAAAACCAAAGATGGCTACAGGTGGCAATAAGAATTGAGAAGAGAGTTGAAAAGTAGAAATTTTTTTGGTGTGGATTGTGGAATGAATATAAAGCTGAGAAGTGAATGACTTAGAAAGGGATTTAGCGCAAACAAAATGCGAGTCTGAAAGGAAAATTGGGAGAGGCAAAAAAAGGGTGTCAACTTTGGAAGCTACTCTGTATCAGAGCCAGGTTTCGATCCTGGGACCTGTGGGTTATGGGCCCACCACGCTTCCGCTGCGCCACTCTGATTGTTGAAATGAGTTGTTGGAAAAACTTTTAAATACTAATATTGTTGGCCATTGACTCAGTTCGTTTCCTTCATACTGTATTTTCCGAGAAAGAGAGTCACGTTATTTCTTTTTCATGGACACAAGAGGGTCAACTTTTATTAGTTCAACCTTGTGGGAAAAAAAAGGTCGACTCATGGATAAGACTATCATATATTCTCTTCCGTCTCAAAATTATTGCTCAATTTTATATTTCACTTTTAGTGCATCTTAAACTAAGAATAAAACTCAAACTGAATAATAATTTCGGGACGAGAAGTATATTTTTTGTTTTTCTTAGTCGAATATATACATTTATCATTAAATGTTGAAAGAGTGCAACATTGATCAAAGGTGATGCAAGATTATAATCAAAAGTTCAAACTTAAGGCAACATTTTATAACCATGTTTTTTTTTTACCTAGACACTTTGGAATTTTGAGTGAACCTCAAAACGGGTCATTGAACTACTAGATAATTCTAATACAAGTCATCAATCAAATTTATTTGTATAGCATGTCACCTTACTAAGTAAAAAATTCATCCAAGATCATTCTGTTAATTTTGGCCGTTAAATAGTGAAGGAAATCCATTTTTCACATTCTTTTGGGTTTAGGAGTATTTTTGTCATTTTATTATTTTTAAATTTTTTTTTTTTGAAAAAAAAATTTTTTCTTTTTTTTTTATAACAATTCTTATTCTTATACTTCCTAATTTGTATATACTGGTAGTATAATTCTAAATTTCAAATATACATTTTAATTTTGTATTTTAACTTCTAGATTATAAATTTTTTTAAAAAAATTCAGAAATGAAGAAGTAAAATTCGAGTTAAAGTAAACATGAAAATTACAAGTTTATCATTTTAAACTAAAAGAAAAACTAAAAGAATTAGCTAAGACAAGTTGTTTCTTCTAGATTATTTAATTATTTTCAACTCGATTTAATCATTTAATTATTAATTTTCACGTTTACTTCAATTTGAATTTCTCTTCTTTATTTTTTTATAAACTAGAAGTTAAAATAAAAATGAAAAATTAATTTTTGAAATTTAATAATGATACTAGTAGTAACATATACAAGTTAGGAAGCAAAAGAAAAAGAATCGTAAAAAAAAATTTATTAAAATATTAATATTTAAAAAGTACACACATATATATAAATATATAAATTGATGAAATTTTTCCTGGAGCCAAAAGCAGGTGAAAAATAGTTTTGTGTTACGATTTAACTCCCAGAATAATCTAGGAGAAACAACTTCTCTTAGGAGAAAAAAAATTTATAATCTAGAAGTTAAAATACAGAATTTAAATTAATTTTTGAAATTTTGAAGTTATACTACTAGCATATACATGTTAAGAATTATAAAAAGAAGAATTGTAAAAAAGTAAAAATTTAAAAAAAATAAAAATTTCAAAAAAATAAAAATTTAAAAATAACAAAATGATAAAAATACCCCTAAACCTAAAAGCATGTGAAAAATAGATTTTCGTCACTATTTAACGGTCAAAGTTAACAGAATGATCTCGGATGAATTTTTTTGCTAAGTAAGTTGACATGTTATATAAATAAATTTGGTTGATGACTTGTATTAGAATTACCTAATAGTTCAATGATCCATTTTGAGGTTCACTCAATTACTTTTTAGAAAAAATACTTGCAACAGAACGAAACAAGTCTTAAGTAAAGCTTAATAAATAATCACATAAAACTATTGAACCATGTTACATAAAAGATGTTGGCTGATTTGTGACCACTCATATTAAAGTCAATTGGTGATGATTTCACTTTATAGACTCAAGCTTAGTTTGTAATAATAGGAATCGTATGATCATGATTAAGTACTAATACCAACCAACAATGGCCTATAAAAGGCAAAGGTGATTATGATTAAACTCTATGTAGTTTATGAGCTAAATGAGCATATTTCACATTTCATTTATCTCCTCTAAATATTTACTAACAAGGAAAGTCTTTACCTTGTGGTAAATTTTGCAGGAGTGTTTGGAGGAAGGGGGGACCGGGCCGGACGGACTGGGCTGAGTGGGACAGGTAGCTAATTAGAAAACAATCCATTAAGGAGTAGGACAATGATATGATGCCGAAAAGGAACAAATGCAGCAATAAAGAAGAAAAAGAACCGCCCACACGGCCCACCAGATGGATGCTACCAAAAACCATATAATCATACGCGTCAAAAGAGACATTTTTCTGGGTATAGATAAACATGTATAATGTATTTGCGTGTTTCAAATCAGACTCATTCCAATTCGTCTTTGATCCAAACATACTCTTTTCAAAAATAAAACTTTCTTAATAAATATTTTAATTACTATTAGGAAAAATTTGAATTTTAAGCACGATCATAGTTAAATTGCGTTAGTTGGTACATGGATTCATTTCAATGGGTGCTTATCTTCTTCATTCCAAGTTACGAAATGCAACTTGATACTCACTTTCTCATTATCTAATAGTAGTTTAAATTCGAAGAGAATAGTTACTTTTTATTTTTTATTTTTTTGTCGAACATGCAGTTTTCAATTTCACATAGTAAGTTCTTTCTGCCTCGAGAAATAGTTCACCTTAAATTTTAAAATTTGTAAATTATTTTTTTCCTTAGGACAGAAAGAGTATCAATTTTGCTAACTATTCGATAATTTGTGGGGTCAGAAAAATGATCATTTTTCCTATATTCATAAGTTGCCATTGTAAGCCCGTGAATATCATGTGATGGTAAGAATTCGAATGATGGTGTTATTTAGGTTAATTAAGTCCCCAAATAGGCAACCACTCTCATAACCTTCTGAATAGTGTTTAAAATTTGGCTAAGAGAGATGATGAAAATAAGAACACTAATGATATATTTTGATCGGATTCATTTTAGTAATGATTATTATAGGAAAAATTTGAAAGGAAAAATTACAGAAAATGAACCACAACCCTGAATAGTCCCACTAAATCTATTACGATTCACGCATACTATCAAATCATCACAATTGGTCAATAAACATTTCCTTAAAAAGGAAAATGGGGATTAAATTTGAAATCTAACATATATTGATAAAGACTAACCTAAAGATCCTTCCAAACCTGAATTGGACAAGTCATATTCAAGGTCTCGATCACTAATTTTCTTGAGTACTATCATTTTTCACAAAGAGATCTCAAAGGCGAAATTGATAAAGACACCAGATTTAAAAAAAAAAAAAAAGGAAAAAAAAAAGAAAGGATCGATAAAGGATTCCTTCCACATGAACCGCCAAAATTAACAAGCTTTATTTCAAGAAATTAAAATTTAAAACAAAAGGTAAGTGAAAAGAATTTTCTTTTTCAAAAAAAGGAAGGAGTGCTTGTGTAAATAAAAAGGGGTCTTGGAGTTGATTTATGTAATTATTTTTGTTATAAGCTCACTCCTTTCAAGGAAGAAAAAGCAGCCTTCCCTATATTGGCATTTTTCTAAATTAATCATACAAATTATTCATCACATCAATATTTTAATTTTTTTCTTTTAATATTTTAAGAAATGAACATCCATCATACTCGCTATTCTCACCATATAAATGAATATGTAATACACCAAATTAATCATATCAACATAACTACATGTTTTGTCCAACCATTATTTTTTCCCTAATAACTTATGAATATTTTCAACCAGATTTCGTCTTAAATAGTTTTCTCAAAAAATATGTTCTGATATCAAAAACATGAGGTTCCTATCCACTAATTGTAATTGGTATGTCATGTTAATTGCATGATTTAAGGAAGCAAAAATGATTATTGAAAATTAGGATAACTCAAAATGAGATGAAAATTGTGATTTATGTGAAGAAAACTTTTTGGAGGAAAAAAAAAAAAGGTGGCACAAAACCCTAACAAAAGTAGAAAGAACAAAAAGAAAAGCTCCGATTCAGTTCATTCCTTTATCGAGTTTTGACCCAATTGCATTCCCTCATTTCAAACCCGATGACCTCCAAATTGAGGAGTAAAGCCCAACTCAACTCCGATTCCAGAAACCCACATCACTTTTTCCAGACATTAGTCTCGAAATTTTGACCATTTTCTCCCTTTTAACATTTCTTTTTTTAATATTCTTGTCAGTAAGTGACCAGTCCTATATTAATGTCTTTCTGTGTCTTATAGCTTCTTTATGTTAATTGTTGTTAACGTTGTTCCATAAACCCAGAATATGATACTGTGAAGTTCTTGTGAGCTGTGAAGGATTCTCGAAATGGAGGGGAGGCTAAAAATCCAAACTTTATTGCACGTTTTCTGTTTATTGTTACTGGGATTGAGCTGGAAGAAGGCTGCATTGGGAGCTTCAATTGAAGATGACAAGCAAGCTTTGCTGGATTTTGTAAGGGAGCTTCCTCATTTGAGGACATTGAAGTGGGATGAAAGCTTGCCAGTTTGCAAGAACTGGACTGGAGTTGGGTGTAATGAAGATGGTTCAAGGGTAACATCACTGAGATTACCTGGGGTTGGTTTCCATGGCCCAATTCCGTTGAATACCATCAGCCGTTTGTCAGCATTGCAGATCTTGAGCCTCAGATCCAATGGCATTAATGGGTCATTTCCTTCGGATTTTGGTAACTTAAAGAACCTGTCTTTTCTTTATCTTCAGTATAATAGTATTTCAGGGCCTTTGCCTTTGGATTTCTCTGTTTGGGAAAACTTGACTAGTATTAATTTGTCTAATAATTTGTTCAGTGGTCGGATTCCCTCTTCAGTTTCTAGTTTAAAGCAGCTTAGCTTCCTGAATCTTGCTAATAATTCGCTTTCTGGCGAAATCCCGGACCTAAATCTGCCTCATTTGCAGCTGCTTAACTTGTCCAACAATAATTTCACCGGCCCTGTTCCAAAATCACTGCAAAAATTTCCAAAATCTTCTTTTTTGGGGAACAATGTTACCATTATGGAGAACCCTGTTAGTAGTTCTCCTGTTGCTTCGATTCCTCAAGAACCAATTTTGAAGTCTAGGAATAGTGGGAAATTGAGTGAGAAAGCTTTGCTTGGCATAATAATTGCTGTTAGTGTTCTTGTGCTTCTTGGGTTTGCTTTCTTGTTCCTAGTTTGTTTGTTAAGGAGGAAAAGCACAGAGAATGTGTTTCCTGGGAGTAAGCTGGAGAAAGGTAACATGTCGCCGGAGAAGGCGATTTCAAGGAAACAAGATGCCAATAATAAGTTGGTTTTCTTCGAGGGTTGTAACTATGCTTTTGATTTAGAAGACTTATTGAGGGCTTCTGCTGAGGTATTGGGTAAGGGCACATTTGGAACTGCTTATAAGGCTATATTGGAGGATGCAACCATGGTGGTTGTAAAGAGATTAAAGGAGGTTGGAGTCGGGAAACGGGAATTTGAGCAGCAATTGGAGGTTGTTGGGAACATAAAGCATGAGAATGTGGTTGAGCTAAGGGCTTATTACTACTCAAAAGATGAGAAACTCATGGTGTATGATTACCATAGTCAGGGAAGCCTTTCTGCAATGTTACATGGTATGTTTATAACTCATTTTATCTTCTTTGGCTCTCAATTTGATTAACCTTCTGTACCTGGCTTTCATATCAGATAAATATATTATAGAATCATGTTTCTTGCTTGCTTGTATGTCCTACAAACCTACAACCTTCAGCTCCTTACCTCTTAGAGCAGCTAAACAATTTTTTATCAGCATTTCAATGAAGGACTGGTTCGCTTTCCGAGTTCAATCTGTGTAAAAAATAATTAAATCCAGGTCTATGTGGTCTTGGAGCAATAGGGCCATGACTTTCAGATGGAATGTTTTATGATATTCTGTTTTTGGCTTTGCACAGTTTGTTGGAATGGAAAAGTGCAAACCTAAAGATAATGAGTACTTGAGTAGCTCGTGCATGGATGGTCCATTTGTGGGTCTGGGGAATTAATTGATGGATGTTGTCAACATTCTGTGTATTCCTTGTCTGTATGGATAACCATGCAATTTGTCAAGAGCTGTGCACCTATTGTTCTTTTAGTCTTTTTGTTTGCTTATCCCATTCATTCAACAATATCTTCATAGCATATTCACATTGTCAATTGATGTTTCATTTATCTTTAGTTTGATTTTACATTTTGGATACCATATTCATAGTTGGACCGTGCTCCATGGAATTACCAAGTTTTACTGTTCAGTAAATTGCAAAAAGAAAAATCTGTTTTCACAATAATGTACAAACTTTCGGTTTTTCATAAACCCAGTCACATCAGAAGAATGTGTTTCTGCATAATTGTTGACACTAGTCTTGAAAGTGACATGCATTATGTTTTTATTGGCTCTAGTATGAAGATGGATAATGACTTGGGAGATGATTTCAATTTTTTCTTTTTTTTTTTTATGGTACAGGAAAAAGAGGAGAAAATAGGACTCCTCTGGATTGGGAAACTCGATTAAGGATAGCGATTGGTGCAGCTAGAGGCATTGCTCGAATCCACAGCGAGAATGGCGGGAAGCTAGTTCACGGCAATGTCAAATCCTCAAACATCTTTCTGAACTCTAACCAATACGGTTGTGTATCAGATCTCGGGTTGTCAGCAATAATGAGCTCATTGGCTCCGCCAATAGCCCGTGCAGCTGGCTACCGTGCCCCAGAAGTGACAGACACTCGGAAAGCCACACAACCATCCGATGTCTACAGCTTTGGAGTAATGTTACTCGAACTGCTCACTGCAAAATCACCTATACACACAACAAGTGGGGATGAGATCGTACACCTTGTCCGGTGGGTTCATTCAGTCGTCAGAGAAGAATGGACAGCAGAGGTGTTCGACATGGAGCTGTTAAGGTATCCAAACATCGAAGAGGAGCTTGTGGAGATGTTGCAGATAGCTATGGCTTGTGTTGTTAGAGTGCCGGATCAGAGGCCTAAAATGAGTGAGGTCGTTAAAATGATCGAAAATGTCAGGCCCGGCTCGGCTCAGTCCCAGAACAGAACATCTGGTAATGACTCCAAGTCTGAAAATGGTGCAGCAGCAACCACTACAACAACCACAACAGCACCAGAACCAGTGCGATTCGAGTCAGATTCGTCTTGCTGAATCTACTCCCCGACACGTTAAGTTTGAGTAAATTAATGTGCATGAGATTTGCGTTGTTCACCCGCTCCGTGAATATGGCAAGGATTGAGATTGATTAGTGATCACTTCAATTGACTTAATCCCACGTTGACGGTAGAGGAGGATTAGGTTGTGCATCGGTTTGGAATGGGTCAATGCTGCCATGGTTGGCTGAAAACAATGAAATGAATTTGTTCTTACTTAAGAAGCTTGGGTGTAACAATCTAAGTATGGGATTGTTTGTCACTTGTCAATGCTATTAGCTCTGCATCTCATTTTGCATTGTTCACTCTGATTATTATTATTATTATTTTTGAAAAAATAATAATAGTATTCTTCCATGCTTACTGCTTGGTGTTTTATGAAGTGCGAATCATAAAAAAAATATTTTCACCGTCTCAAAATTATTTTATCATACTTGTTGAAAATGCGGCATTCATTGGGAAACAGCAATTTTTTTGAGGGTAACTTATGTGAGAAATTATGCAAAACTGATGCATTATCAGATTGGAAATCATATGTACTCATGTGCTGGAAATTGGAAAAGGAAAGGATACTTTGGTTTTCCTGACAGTATTGCAAATTGCAATTTGCATCTGATGATGGAACATATGTCATGAGTTCATGATTACAACACACGCATTACAATCTCAGCAATAATAAATTAACTTAGGCTACAATCTAGATATCTATCATACTCTGATTCACCCCCACCCCCCCTAAAAATCCATCTCAATAAACCACACTTACATGTAAATAAAACACCCTTACTAACCCCTCCATGTTCCTTCTATTTAATTTGATCTTTTTAATGAATAAATTCCTTTCACCTCAAATAGATAGTTCAAAAGAGAAAGACATATGTTCGTATCAAATATCTTTTTCTTTATATATATAAATCAATAAATAATTAAATTTCTCATCTCATTTCTAGAATTTCTAAATTTTCTATACTACATTCAAACAGCATTAGTTCCATAATGAGAGTTTCCTAAATGGATGATTTTTTTCCATTAGAAAATTATGGAGTATATTGTGAAATTCCTTTAATGAGTAACACATAAATAAGATATAAAAATAAAAAAATTTACTGCTTGAAAAAAAAAAAACTATCAGATTTTTTTTTTTTAATAAAAAAAATTCAATTTCAGAAAGGGGGGACCCAGAAGGTAGATAAGAGCAATTTAGAGAAGAACCGTCTACCTGCAAAAAACAGAAGGCAAAGGTCTTCCATTTTCAATTTTTTAGTAATAAATTAAACAAATAAAAAAGTAGGGTCGGATTCGGGTCTATAAAATCCCCCCCATTTTCACCTGCATTGAAAATTCCTCCTCCATTTTGCAGAGATTCTCATTTCCTAACCTGTGTAAGTCCTTCTTCTCTCCGTCTTTTCCTTCTTCAATCCAATCCGTTTCTAATTTTTTTTTTTCGCTGATATCTCTCCTGATAATCGGTCTAGTTTCCTGTATCATGTGTTTGTGTATATGGCTGTTAATTTAATGGTTTTTTTTTTTGGGATTTTTGTTTTCTGTTGATCTAGGGTTTATTTTCTGGGAGAGGTAGGGTTTTTGCGAGCCGGAACAGAAGGAAGAAGATGGCTTCCAAGCGGATCTTGAAAGAGCTCAAGGATCTGCAGAAGGATCCCCCTACCTCTTGCAGCGCCGGTTAGATCGCACTCTCTCTTTACTTTTACCTTTTTGTTCTGTTTTTCCTTTCTCTTCATTTGCTTCTTAATTCTTGTTTGAGGTGCAAAGATTTTTCTTTTTTTTTTTGCCATTTTTTTGTTTTGGTAATATACCGGGGTGTTGTTTGAGTAGTGGATTTATGTTGAAGTATTCTGTTGACTGGATTATTTATTTATTTATTTATTTTGTTTTGGAGTAGCTTCTGTTGGAGTGAGTATAGTTTGCTAGCTGTGAAATCCCTTTCTTTCCCGTTATTTTCAAAATGTGACTTGTGTTGCAAAGAAACATCTATTTTGGGCCCAAGACTTCAGCTTTTGGTACTGGAACAGCTTGAAATTCTGTTTTGTGTTTATGTTTGCATTTATAATTTAATATCATTTGGTTTGTTACATAGGAGACTTAATTATGTAGCTGAATATGTGGGATGTAAACAGATTTCCCTTTTTTTTTTTTCGGATTATAAAGAGAACGAGTATATCTATGGAATTCGTGTCTGTTGATTTTAAGTGTTTTATAGTGGCATTGACTAATGTGGACTAGCATTTAGCTAATGTATTTTGGTTTTATTAATGATTTGTTTCGCTGTTTGACTCCAGGTCCGGTTGCTGAAGATATGTTTCATTGGCAAGCTACGATAATGGGACCTCCGGAGAGTCCATATGCTGGTGGAGTTTTCCTTGTCACCATCCATTTCCCACCAGACTATCCATTCAAGCCACCTAAGGTACTGTCTGACCTCCATTTTCAACATGGTGAATTATGATTTTGGTTTCATTAAAACTTTTGTCAAAGACTAATCGTTTTGTTCTGAAATGCTTAATCTTGCTATGCTTCTCAAATGTCAAATGATTCAAGCAGCAGTGTCATTGATCATGTTGCCTGTATGGATGTATATTTACAGCAGTAAGCTAATAGCTGAACTTTCACATGGCAAGGCATATCAATCACCTTAGATTATCTTTAGTAGCATTTACATATGGATTTTGGTGGAATCTTGTAAATTCTTAGATTAATGAACTATAATTTCTCATATTTGTATGTTGTGACTTCTGTTTTCTCAATTGTGCTACTTCTGCTTATTTTGTACCCTATTGTCATCTTTTTAACATACGTTTGCACTTAATATTGGGCTGTGCTTATGTAGTTTGAATAAATTTTGCAGGTAGCTTTCCGGACAAAGGTTTTCCATCCAAATATTAACAGCAACGGAAGCATTTGCCTTGATATTTTGAAGGAACAGTGGAGCCCAGCTCTTACCATCTCGAAGGTAACTTTAGTGTCTGAATTTTTGGGTGCATTTTTGCCCTCTGCGAACAATTGTGTGCCAATGATTGTGCTGGACATATTTGATCTTCTGTGGGTGGACTAAAACGTTCAGGATCAGAATAAGTTAATGGAGGCATACCCTTCGGATGACTGATCAAATTGTTGCCTTGCGGTTTCATCTATTTTCTCATATATTCCCAAGAATACAAATCAGTTGGCTCATTTTTCTACTTTTCTAGTATTTCAGATCATGTGGTTTCTTGTTGTTGTCCTTGGTTTAGAATCTCTTGATGTGGCATATAAATCTTGTTATAGCAAGCTCTGCCGTTGGTGTTCTTGCACTTCTCTTGTTGATTTCCTTTTTAGTGGTGTGTGTTTTAGGAGTTGTAAAATAGTCTGGTAAAGTGGGCTTTCTGTTTGATGCCTGGATTGTTGAAAAAATAATTTATTAACTGTAACTCATTTAAAAAAGATAGGATCATGTTGTTGATTATGAAGCTTTTAGTGACTGTCTAAACATAATTACTTATGTCCCATCCTGATGCTGTCCATCTGTTCACTGTTTGGTTTCTTGCAGGTGTTGCTGTCCATCTGTTCTCTGTTAACCGACCCAAATCCTGATGATCCTCTTGTACCAGAAATCGCTCACATGTACAAGACTGATAGAAACAAGTATGAGACAACTGCCCGGAGCTGGACCCAGAAGTATGCCATGGGTTAACTACTGCTGTCTGTGGCTGGGTTCCTCCTTCCTTTGTGAAATGAGTTGTTTATTATAGATATCTTAAAATGAAGTGTAATATGTTCTATTATAATGAGTTGGACTGAAGGAGGAACAAGGGAATCCTGCCTCATGAACTGTTTTACTTTCCGCCTTGTAATGATGATTCTAGATTTGCTTAATTATGGATTGAAAAATGTTTGATCCCCTGTTTTGTGGTTTGCAATATGATTCTTTAGAATGCTTATTTTTACTGAAAATTTAGAAAAGTAGCTAAAATCAAGTTGAACAAGCTTGATCTTCTGGAGTGCACGCTTGGGAAACAGAATACAAGGAGGCTGGTTCATCTGTTTCTTGGTAGTCTAATAAGTAGTTATCTTGGTCTGCCGAAACTTGTTCATTTTTGTTAACATTGAAGTTGTCAATTCCGATAATGTTTCTATGAGCGTAATGGTCATTATTTTTCCATTACTGCCGTGTTCTGTTTGTTTATCTGCACAAACATGAAGAATTCAATTCAATCAGTGCATAAGGTATGAGGTTTCCACTATTTGAACTTTGAATTACAATTTCAGTAGCTAGTCTACATGGTATAATAACATACACTGATTAGACAAAAGGCGAAACAGAACTTGAAATTCTGATGTTTGTTGCATTTGAAAATACCATAACATGTTGGATTTTAGCTACTCTTGAATCTGAGGGTGAGGCTGACTCTGAAGAAATCTCAAGCCAGGTTTTAATCTGGAGTTGAGCTAAATTTTCTGGCAAGGTAGCTTGACGCTCTAATTGTAGTCCGGGGATGGAATGAGGCCCTTTCATGAACCTCGTTACCATCCATCTATGTCTTCTGCTATAACTTGAAACTAGTGCGGCTAGTGTCATATGCAAGACTGAACTCCAATTCAACAAATCATATGCAAGCATCCAAAGAGCAGATATGAGTATCTAGTTAGAGCCGATCAAATTCGCAAATCAAACCACCTCATCCCTCCTTGCGGGAAACAAGTTACGAGAAAAGAAAAAGAATAAATAATTCAGAGCCATGGATAAATCAAGTAACATCTTCTTAAAACTATCAACAAAATCAAGTAACAGCCATTTCAGTTGCAATATTGCAGCAGTGCTCATATAACTCTTCCAAACAAGTGAACTTGGACCATCTCACGTACAAAACAGAGCCAAAAAATCTTAACAGGAATAGCATTATTTCAATTAACTACCAACCTCCATACCATGTGTATCTATCAAATTCTTCTTCTATTGTCAACTCGTGCTCTTTTAGACTGTCCGGTTTCAGGAACACTCCCGCCTGACTGCTGTATCTTATCAAGCCTCTCCCTGACCATCCTAACCGTTTGGTTCATAGATTCTGATGGAAAATATTTATCAGATGAAACAAATGCCTTAGTAACAGAACCTTTGCTTGTTGCTACATTACCGGATTCCCTAAACTCCCTTTCTCTGAAATTTAATGGAGAATCATCCACCCGGCTGTGACTCTGAATCGCTCCAGAATCACGTTTAGACAGTGCAGTATCAGAAACAGAACCTCCACTAGTAACAACATTGCCGTAATCCTTAATCTCCCTTCCTCTGAAATTTAATGCTGAATCATCCATCGGGCTATGACCCTGAATCGTCCCAGAATCACGTTTAGACAATCTAGCGTTAGGATTTAACCGCGCAAGCACTTCATTTCTCCTCGTCTCTAACTTCTCCTTTGTATCCAGTAACGACTCAAATTGTGGGGCGTAAGAAACCTGCAACCTATTCCCTAGAAAAACAAACTCGTCCAGCTTTCTTTTGGCAAACCTAGCATTATCAATCTTGCGAAACTTAATGCAATAAATATCGGTGAACTCCTCGCATTCCTCGGCATCCATTGGTTTGCATTCTTCGACCTCTCCGTAATTTGAAAACGCTTTTAACAATTCATCACCGCAGCCTAATGCAGGAACATTTCTAACAATCAAATACTTGGATTCATCACAAACAGTGTAGACCCGAACCGCAGGCGGCTCATCTTTATTGTTGCGAGGCATCACATAACATAAAATGAACCCTCTTAACCTTTCTCCTTCACAATTGAAAATACCGTTTACAATCTCCTTTACCTAAATGGTTGCTACAGTCTGGATATATGATATTTCACCTGAAATAGATCCAAAATTTTCAAAAACAGAAACGATTGGAAGCTAAATTAAGCACCCTAGGTTTATTAATAAAGGTAAAAAATGAGAAAGCAATGAGGGATTCACGAGAACCCAATTGATGCAGAGCTAGATTAATCGTAAGCAGAAATCCAATAGAAAGACGCAAATTTCACCTAAGAAACTTGCTAAAATCGAACGTGAAAACCACTAATCCAGGTGGAGGATGTGATGGCGGAGGATTACCTGGTGATGAGGGCTCTGATCGAATTGCTTCCGCCTCCGGTGGTGGTTCGAGGCTGCGCGACGGGCGGGAACGGAGACTATGCTGGTGGAGTTTGGACTTCGGGTTTTGGACTCTGGAGATGTGGGACATAAATGATTTATGGGCCTTTCCACCTCCTCCTTGGGCCGTAGCCCATATGAGTGTCAGGAACAGAGGTTAGATTTTCAGAGGAAAAAGGAAAGAAGGGGAGAAAAGGAGAATTACGAATTCAAGGGGGGAGAGTGAATTGAGAAGAAGAGGAAATTGAGGGAGAATAGAGTACAGGTCAATTTTCTTCATAAACTTCGATGAGTTTCCAGTACAATGATGACCATATTTATCTGATCACAATTATCCTAATGTACTAACTATTACTACAATTTAGTCCTTTAATTTATAAAACTATAAAAATAGACCCTTAAGCATGACAATGAGATTCAAGTGTGTTTGTCTCGTTTCTCTTAGATGAATTTTGCATGACCCTTAAGCATGACAATGAGATTCAAGTGTGTTTTTCTCGTTTCTCTTAGATGAATTTTGCATTTTCTTTTACTATTTATAATTCCTTCATTTTCAAACCAATGCTTAGAATTTGTAGTTTAGTCTTTAGTGTAGATGAGATGAGCAATGATGCTCAAAATATTAGAGAAAAATTTGTAGGAAATACTCTTTCTATCCCGAAATGATTGTCTAGTTTGAGATTTCGTTTTTAGTACAAATTGTATTAAAAATGAGAATCAAATATGGACAATAATTTTGAAACAGATCGGAGTACATTTTATTCTCCATCCCCTTAGAAATTAGGTCATTGGATACAAAAATCCGCGGACATGCCACCCTAATTTTCGCTATGATATGTCAATAGCTGAGATTTAATCTTCTTTACGGTTGACAAAATATCTTTCATATTGGCTCTATCTTTGGGTGACTCCATCGTGCAATTCAGAGCAACTTGCATGAGGGATGAAATGCAGTCCAATTGTTCAAGAAAGTTTGTATCAATTTGTCTTAGCATATTGGCATCGACAATGTGAGCTAATGCATTAGGGGGCATATGATCCCTAACCCAACTCCTTAGGGTTGTATCTTCTTCAAACATCTCATGGTTGGGTTTCATCCTAGTGAAAACTTCCATCATCATAATTCCAAAACTGTAAACATCACATTTTGTTGATACAAATCCCTCTAATCCGTATTCTGCAAAAATTAAAATTGTCGATTAGAAATTATAGAAAAGTTGCATACACTAACGTCACTCAACCAATGACAAAATTATTTTTTAGAGCACATTCCTTTATAATAAATAATAAGCTGGTGAAAGTTAATTTGTAGAAATTAATATTGTCTAATAAGCAAAAGTTCATTCAGTAAGAACATTCATAGCTTTGGAAATTTTATATTCTAAGATGAAAATGTATAAACATTCTAGGATTTAGTTTTACCCGGTGCGAGATATCCAAGCGTGCCTAGTGTTTTGGTGCATGTAATGCTATCGCCGTCTTTGCTGAATAATTTGACGATGCCGAAATCACTTACGTGTGCAACCATGTCATGATCCAGAAGGATATTACTGGGTTTAAGATCGCAATGAACCACCGGACTTGTGCATCCACAATGGAGATACTCTAATGCACTTGCAACATCAATTAATATATCTAAATCTTTGCACAATATCTAAGCAATAATTGTGAGAGTACAACCATTGATCAAGATTTCCTTTAGGCATGAACTCAAGTACCAAGGCCTTAAAATCAGGGTTAGAGCAACAACTAATCACTTTTGTGATGTTTCGATGTCGAAGGTTGCACAATGCTTCACATTCTAGATCAAAACTCTTACATGCTCCTTCAAGTTGTAAATTGAACAATTTAATAGCCACAATCCTTCCATCGTCAAGCCTGCCTTTATAAACTGAACCAAAACTTCCTTTCCCAAGCAAATTACTGTCATCAAATTCATTAGTGGCTTCAACAAGTTTAAAATATGAAATTCTTTCTGGTGCTATACTCAGTGGCATCATTGCATCATTTGGATTGGCTTTAGGGTTTCTCCTTCGCCAACAGCAGTAGAGAAACAGAAAGAACACAAATACAGTTGTGGGTGTGAGAATAATGGTGCTTAGTAAAATAAGTTTATGACGACGATTGATAGGGTACTTCTTAGGCCTTGATATGTTAATTGAGTTCCGTGGGCATGAAGGAACATTGAACCTAGCAGCTCCACAGAGTGCATAGTTCGACACGAATGATTCACTTGTGAAGTTCTTAAAAGGGCCATTGGAAGGAATTTCACCACTTAAATGGTTAGACGAGAGATTCAAGTTTTCGAGATACCGAAGGGCCTCAAGTGACATTGGTATGGAACCAGAAAGAAGATTGTATGACAGATTCAATACTTGCAAACTCAACATTTTACCAATAGAGCCCGGTATTGAACCTTGAAACTGGTTGTTTGCTAAAGATAGATACTTCAAGTTATTCATGTCACCCATTGTGATTGGAATCCCACCTGAGATTTGATTCCTGGACAAGTCTATCAATGTTGCAGACCTAAGGTTATTCACTTGAGGAGATAAGGAGCCACTCAATGAATTGGATGACAAATCAAGCTCCAATAAATCTTTCAAATTCCAAACCTCTTCTGGCAGGGTGGAGTGTAATAAGTTTGAAACTAAGTATACGTTCCTCAAAGATGTAACATTTCCTAAGCACTTAGGGATTGACCCAAAAATTTGGTTCGCACTAAGTTGCAACAAGACCAATTTTCTCAAACCACAAAAATATTCCAATGGAACCTCGGTTAACTTGTTACTCTTAAGATTAATCGCTTGGAGATTCAGCAAATGTTTGATTGCAATCGGCAATGATCCAGTCAACTCATTATTAGATAAGCTCAAGATTAACAAGTTGCTCAAATTGCCAATCTGGGATGGAATGTTGCCACTTAATCCACAGTTATCTGCATATATCCTTTCCAAAAAAACCGAGAGATTACCAATAGAACCAGGAAGAATGGCATTCAAATCTGGATTGTTAGCAATCCCAAGCACTCTCAAATTTATGCAACTTTCCAAGGCAATGATCACGCCCAACTCTTTGGATGAAGGGTCATTCACTAAACTGTTATTTGCCAGATTGATTTTTTGTAGGAATCTAAGGTTTCCAAGAGAGTTAGGAATCACGCCTGTGAATTCGTTCTCAGAAAGTTCTAAGGTTTGAAGTATGGAAGAGTTTGAGATGGAGCTTGGTATTAGGCCACTAAAAGAATTGGTGTTGAGGTAGAGTTCTTCCAAATTGGGCAGGCCATTACCTAAATTTGATGGAAGGTTGCCATGGAGATTATTTCCTCCAAATGACATTGAATTTAGCATTGAGAGGTTGAAGATCCCAAATGGTATAGAACCAATTAAGTTGTTACTATCCAATTTTAGATACTGCAGATTGTATAAGCTACTGAGCTCTTCTGGTATTGCACCTGCATATAGGCCCCGAAATGTTGCCAAATGCTAATTTATTGTACTGAAACCCAAAAAAAAAAAATAATAATAATAACAAAAAGCAATTTTTATTCGATTAAAATGACACAATTACCTGTTATGTTGTTAGAATGTAGGTGAAGGAGGTGTAGCGTGGTTATATTGGCAATCACTTTTGGAATTGAACCTGCGCATTGCAACATATGTAAAATATGAGTAAGAAGTTTGGGATCAGGTGAGAGCAAGCATTATAACTTCACACTTTGTTGATGAACAACAATACTTAATCACATCGTGTATGCAAATTAATATGGTTCCAAGAAAGAGAAGGATCTCAATGTTATGAATATTAACTTTGAAGTCCTACATTTAAACCTCAATATCTATATGAAGATATGAGTAAATAAATGCTCATTTGAATTGTTGCATAAGATTTTAGTTTCTATTTTCATTTTAAATTTAAAATATTGTTAAGAAACTAATTTGAGTGTAATTTGTTTGGATTGTATTTCAAATAAATATTATTCTTACTGCAGTCCGCGGACTAATTAGCTGGAGGTGGTCCAATATTAATGGTTAAAAGATATTTTTTAACATGAATTTTAAAATATAAGTTGAAATTTTATGTTGACGTAATTCTTATCGTGGTATTTAGGTTAGGAGAAGTTTGAAAGCATGGCCCCTAATTAAGTTTTCTTTTTTGATTGGATGACTATAATCTTTTTAACTGAATTTGTTCAGATTTATCATAAAACCTTAAAAAAAAAAACCCCAAGATGATTGATTGAATCAAACCTCATAAAATTATTTTAGTGACAAGATGACAATGCTTCTAAAATGATAGTTTTGGTTTTGAGACTATCATCAACATTATATTTAATTGCAGAGTGTTTTTTTTTTTTTTTGTGATTTGGTTGTTATTAATTTTATTTGTCAATAATTTTATCGTGAAATGTAAGTGTTCATTAAAAGGCAGCTAGAAAATAGAAAGAATTGAAAGTTACTATTTCAAAATTCTTTATAATAAAAATAATGATAATTTAGTATAGAGTAAAACTGCTCAAATGGTCCTTTACATTTGGTAAAAAATTTATTTTGGTCCTTTATGTTAATAATTTACTGGTTTGATTCTTTTCATATGTATTTTATACTAATTTAGTCATTTTTACTTTTTTTTGACTCTTCACATTTGGGGGTTCTCGGGTTGACTATTTCTTGGTCAAGTCAACAGACGTATTTTCGGTAACTTTTAATTTTTAAATTTTCAAATACTAAAAAACTGAAAATTGATTAAAATCATATTAAATATATTATTTTAATTTTATGATTAAATATTAAATAATGAAAAAAGTAAAATTTAAAAGTATTTTTTCAAAATCTGAGTTATTATTTTTATCTTGTGGGCCTCACGGGTGATTTCTTCTTTACCCTTAGCCTGTAATTTTTTCTTCTTTAATTTTTTTTCTTCTTTAAACTTAGTCTAATTTTTTCTTGAATATCGGATTGGGGGAGGTTTGGGAATTAGGTTGGGTGTTTGATCTGGGAGAGAAGAAAAAAAGTACAGACTAAGGGTAAAGAAGAAATCACGCATGAGGCCCATAAGATAAAAAAATAACTCATATTTTGGAAAAAGAAAAGTAATTTTGAATTTTGAAATTTAATTTTTTTAATAATTAATTATAAAGTTAATATAATATGTTTAATATTATTTTAATAATTTTTTGGTTTTTTAGTATTTTTGAAAATTTGAGAATTAAAAGTTACCAATAAAAACCTATTTACTTGACAATTAATGGTCAATCCAAGAACCCCCAAATGTAAAGAGTAAAAAAAAATAAAAAGAACTAAATTAGTGTAAAATATATTCGTAAAGGACCAAACCAGTGAATTTATTAATGTAAAGGATCAAAATAAATTTTTTGTCAACGGTAAAAGATCATTTGAGTAGGTTACTCTTTACTATAAGATGAATTTGATAAATCACAAAACATTTTCAAATTCAATATTTCTTAACACAAAGAATCCCTTACTGCCTTTTCTCCTTCTCTTTTTGAATTTAACGGTTTCATGATTAAGAGATTTAGGAATTGCCCTTTAATTTAAAAATAAGGGAAAAAAAATCACTTTTTATACATTGTGAATGATCGTGCCACTTATACTTGAATTTAACATTTTAAGTATTTGGCAAGTGTAAAAAGGAAAATCAAAATTTTTTTTCCCGAACTATCGGGCAGTTTGCCCACAAACTTTTGGAAAGAAAAGGTAAATTTCACCGTAGTTTTTGTAATTTTACAAAAATTTCCCTTTTGATCAAATTTAAGAAAATTATATCTTGAATTTAGGCGGTCTAATGCACAATTAATTTAGTGGTGGTCTTATTTCTCCGTTCAAAGAGATAAAAAGAAAGGATGTGTAGATGAAGATGATGAATAGTAATTTTTCAAAATTATAAACCTTCTATACCATTGAATTTAACAGAACAATTTAAGTCTAACTGAGAAATTTTAAAAAAATGACTTTTCTTTTGTTTTTTTTTTAAAAGAAACTACTGTTCATTAATACACCTATTTTGGAATTAAAAATTTTTATACTTACCAAAACCAAAACCGAGACTTATATATAGTTTGGTGAACCGTCATGCAACTTCACTTGTACTCCCCTGTCCTAAAATTATTGTTCAGATACTTTTCATTTCTAGTACAAATTGTACTAAAAGTAAAAACTGAAACTGGACAATAATGTTGGAACATAGGGAGTAACAGTTTACCAGTTTTTAAGCTGAAGACAAGACAGACAAAAATCTTACCAGTCAAATTATTATAATCCAAAAATAAAAACTTCAGCTTCTTTGGCTTTCCAATCGCGTCAGGAATGGATCCAACGAAACTGTTAATGCCTAAGGATAACTCCCGGAGTTCCTGACATTGGCCTAAGCTGGTCGGCAGTTCACCAGAGAGGTAGTTTGCAGCCAAAACCAAATCGATCAGCCGAGGAAGATGATCGCACGTGCTCGCAGGAATACTTCCAGAGACTCCATTACTTGCTAAGTAAACAATCTCCAAGGAGGAAATGTTAAAAATGGCTGGTGGTATTCTTCCGTGAAGAAGAGTGAATGCAAAATTTAATGTTGTCAAGCCAGAAATGTTTGAAACCGAAGGTGGAATGACCCCACTAAGGCTATTGGCTCCCATGGACAATACTCGGAGCTCCGGAAAGGAAGAACCGATCCAATGAGGAATCACTCCGGTGAGACTGTTGGCCGTTAACTCCAGCACTCTTAGCCGTCGCAGCCGTGAAAGTTCAGCCGGGATTCCGCCGTAAAATCCATTCAGGCTCATGTTAAGAGAAACCAGAAACGAGAGATTCCCTAGTTGTGGAGGAATTATGCCAGAAAGGTTCATGTTTGAGATATCTAACGCCGTCACCCTATGGTGGTGATGGATTGTGTCGTCGCAAGTTACTCCAACCCAGTGGCAGACGGGTATTTCCGTGGACCAGTTTTTGGCTAGGATTTGTGAAGGGTCTGAAGAAATGTGAGCTTTTAAGGCAAGAAGAGCAGTTTGATCCGTGGTAATGTTGGTTTTTTTGGCCATGCCTAAATCAGCTGCAAGTATGAACACCAAAAATGGTGCAAGTAGAAATCTCTCCATTATTTTATAACTTACTTCCAGATCGATAGAATTTTTATAAAGAACCCATGTATTTATAGTTCAGAAAATGAGTCCGTATCCAGTGCACCCGGGTATACCGTATACCCCCACCAAACACACGCACTACACGCGCTCAACATTTTTCACCTTTACATTAAATGCACAAACAAAATTGTTTTCATCCATTTTACTGTTTTCATCCTCACGCACAAATGCACACAATTGCTGGTTATCCATAATTTATCCACATGTTATAAACTGGTTATCCAGAAGGAGTAAACTGGTTATCCAGAAGGTGTAAACTGGTTATCCACAAGGTGTAAACTGGTTATCCACAAGGCGTAAATTGGTTATCCAGAAGGTGTAAACTGGTTATCCACAAGTTGTAAACTGGTTATCCAGAGGTAAAGAAGCAAACGACATGTTAATTGGGGGGCTTCGCCCCCCCATGATAAACTAAACGACTCCTGCGACTACCGGAATCGCAGGTCACCAACCTGCCCCGGCTGCGCCGCCCCGCCGAACACGCCAATTTAGCTAAGGTAATCTTCTTTTCGTGTGTATGTAAGGAGAGTGTGTTATTGCATTAAGAGGGGACACAAATTACTTGTATAAATCCTCCCCGTGATAAACTAAACGACCCGGCTGAGGGTCATTTTGCCAAATGATGGAGAACAAAAAATGAATGAGGGGTAGTTTGCCAAATGATGGAAATAAGGTACATTCAATTGTGTATAACTAATTATCCATATTGTCAATACTGGTTATCCAACTATGTATAACTAATTATCCATATTGCCAATACTGGTTATTCACATTGTGAACACTGGTCGTCCATAGTGTGTAGCTGGTTATCCATAGTGTGCACACTGGTTATCCAGCTATGTTTAACTAGTTATCCATAGTGTGCACACTGGTTATCCACAGTGTCAATATTGGTTATCCACAAAGTTTTCAAAATTTGAATGAATTCGGTAATTTATATATGCCACGTTTAAAAAAAAAGAAAAGAAAGCTGAATTATCTAGCGAGCTCACGCTACTCTAAGAGATTAAAGTACACGCGCATGGAGGTACACGGTGCCCCCGGGTGTACAGATAATTTGCCCAGAAAATTATTCAATGATGAAGAGTAAAAGAGTGTTGATTTTCCAGGCATAAACAGCCGTCATGAATTATTGAAACAACGCCGGGCTGCTGATGAAATCGTTTTATGATTGAAAAGAAAAAAGTAAAATAATAAAGTAAGTTCAGTGAATTATAGTCAATCTTTTCATTATTCTTCAATATATTGTGCAACTCAGAACAAACCTTCCAATTTTGCGCTATCATTGTTTTCCATTAAGTTATTGATTTTTTTTTAAAAAAAAAAGGTAAAAGAAAAAAACCTTATCATCCAGTAAAGAAAGAGTCAAAGAGAGAGAAATGTTTAATGGAGAGTCAAAGAGTGCGGATTTTATAGCCTTCATGAATTATTGAAACGGTCCCTTCATGAATTGTTGAAGGCCGAAGCAACCGTCATGAATTCTTGAAACAGCACCAAGACTGGTGAAATCATTTAATGTTTGATTATAAAGTATCAGTTAACCATTTAATGGTTAGCTATTTAAAGGTCAACTCCAATGGGAGTACCTAGGCCTAATCTTCAGAATTGTCGATTTTGATTCATGAACCGTCGATTTACAATTCAAAAAATAGATGAACCTTAACCGGACATTAAGTCTACGATTATTATCACGGTTCGTATACTTGAAGTTAAGATCCGATTCTAGGCCACTTAATCTGATTTTTTTTTTTTCGATTTTAACCTAGATTTTATACAATTCTTTTGTATTTTTTTTAGAAAATAGAAAATGAAAATTCCATCTATATATATATATATATATACACACACACACACAAGCATTCAAATCCACAAAAGAATATCTACAATGATGCATGTTAGTTAGCCTAGAATTGCTGGTGTTATTTTGATTTTATTCAAAAAATTTAAGTGCTTGAGACTGAAATATATAGAAACAACAAAAACATAAACATTAGCAAAAGAATAAAAGTAAAAATTACATAAAAAAATAGCTTTTACTCAATTAATACTACCTCATTTTCAAAATATAAGTTCACTTTAGATGGTACAAAAATTAAGGGCTAATCTTTAAAAAATAAAAAAATTCTATTTCATCTTTAATTAATTAAATCAACCACTTAATTTAACTATTGAAATTCTATAAATAACATTTAAAATACAAGGGTAATTTGAAAAAAATAAATAAAAAATTATTATGTATGGGAAACAGTAAATCTATAAAACCGCAAACAGAAAGTGGACTTATATTTTGAGAATTAGGTATTAATTAATATGTTATGTTGATAATAGTCATTAATTTCTTTTTTTTTTTACTTATTTTGGTAAAATTGACGGTTAATCAGAAGTCTGTGACGATCTGAACCTCCGGCTAAAAACTGCCACGGAAATTCATGATAGACCAATGTCTGACATTTTCTCATTGATTTATTAAATGGTAAAACAAGAAAAATTACTTCATTACAAATATGCTCTATACTAAGAAACATTAAAGAAATATTTGTAGCCTGTTGGACACACATAATTTTTTCCATCACCAACGGGAGCTTAGAATTAGGTTATTGCATACAAAAATTTGTAGAAAATGCCACTCTAATTTTCTCTATGATATGGCAACAGCTGAGATTTAATCTTTTTTAGGGTTGACAAAATATCTTTTGTATTGACTCTATCTTTGGGCGACTCCATCGTGCAATTCAAAGCAACTTGCATGAGGGATGAAATGCAGTCCAATTGTTCAAGAAAGTTTGTATCAATTTGTCTAAGCATATTGGCATCCACAATGTGCTCTACTTCATTAGGGGGCATATGATCCTTCACCCAACCCCTTAGGGTTGTATCTTCTTCAAACATCTCATTATTGGGTTTCATCTTAGTGAAAATTTCCATCATCATGATTCCGAAACTGTATACATCACATTTTGTGGATACAAGTCCCTCCAAACCATATTCTGCAAAAATAAAAATTGTCAATTCTTTATAAATTATAGAAAGGCTATATAGCACTCAACCAATGGCAAAAATTAATTTTCATAGCACATTCCTTTATAATAAGCTGGTGGAAAATGATTTTGTGGACATTAATGTTGTCCAACTAGCAAAAGTTAATTCAAGAAGAACATCTGTAGCTTGGAAAATTTTGACTTCTAAGAAGAAAATGTATATACATTATAATGAGATTTAGTTTTACCTGGTGCTAGATATCCAAGCGTGGCTATTGTTTTGGTGTATGTAGCGCTATCACCGTCTTTGCTGAATAATTTCACGATACCAAAATCACTTAAATGGGCAACCATGTCATTACTAGGTTTAAGATCGCAATGAACTACTGGACTTATGCATCCATAATGGAGATACTCTAATGCACTTGCAACATCAATTAATATGTCCAACCTTTGCATTATATCTAAGCAAAAATTGTTAGAGTATAACCATTGTTCAAGATTTCCGTTAGGCATGAACTCAAGCACCAAGGCCTTAAAATCAGGGTTAGAGCAACAACTTATTACCTTTGTGATGTTTCGATGTCGAAGGTTGCACAATGCTTCACATTCTAGATCAAAACTCTTGGAAGCTCCTTCAAGTTGTAAATTGAACAATTTAATAGCCACAACCCTTCCATCATCAAGAATACCCTTATAGAAAGTCCCAAAACTTCCTTTTCCCAACAAATTACCATCATCAAATTTTTTAGTAGCTTGAACAATTCTGTAATATGAAATCCTTTCTGGTTCTACACTTACTGCATACTTTGCTTCATTAGGATCGGCTTTAGGGTTTTTCCTTCGACGGTAAAGGGAGAAAACCCCAGAGAACACCAATCCAGTTACGAACGTGACAATGATCACACTTAGTCAAACAAGTTTAAGCCGACTAAACGCCTTTTTAGGCCTTACGGTTTTACTTGAGTTACTTGGACATGAAGGAACATTGAACCTTGCAGCTCCACAAAGTGCATGGTTGGACATGAAGGATTCACTGGTAAAGTTCTTGAAAGAACCATTCGAAGGAATTTCGCCGCTTAAATTGTTAAATGAGAGATTTGACTGCCTAAGATTCTGAAGGGCCTCAAGTGAGAATGGAATTGAACCAGAAACAGGATTGAATGACAAATCCAATGCTTGCAAACTCAACATTTTACCAACTGATCCCGGACTGGAACATTGAAACTGGTTATTTGCTAAAGATAGATAAATCAGGTTACCCATGTCACCAATTGTGATTGGAATCCCACCTGAGAAATAATTCCTTGACAAATTTATATAGGTTGCTACTCTGAGGTCCTTCACTTGTGGAGACAGGAAGCTACTCAATGAATTGGTTGATAAATCAAGCTCCAGTAAATCTTTCAAATTCCACAATTCTTCCGGCAGAGAGGAGCTTAACAAGTTAGAACCTAAGTAGACATACCTCATTGATGTAACATTTCCTAAACACTTAGGAATTGGTCCAGAAATTTGATTTTGCCTGAGTTGCAATAATCCCAATTTGCTCAACCCACAAAAGTAGTCCAACTGAACCTCGGTTAGCTTGTTAATCTTAAGATCAATTGCTTGGAGATTCTGCAAATGTTTGATTGTACTAGGCAAGGAGCCAGTCAATTCATTACCATATAAGCTCAAAACAACCAAGTTGCTCAAATTTTGCCAATCTGGGTTGGAATTTTGCCACTTAACCCATAGTTGAATGCAAATAGCTTTTCCATGGAAACCGAAAGATTACCAATCAAATCCGGAAGAATGGCATTCAAATTTGGATTCTGAGCAATGCTTAGTATTGACAAATATTTTGCATTTGATAAGGCAGTGATAAAGCTTAACTCCTTGGATGAAGGGTCATTGACAAAACTGTTGTTTGACAATTGGATCCTTTGCAAGAATTCAAGGTTTCCTATAGAGTTTGGAATCACACCTGTGAATATGTTGTGAGAAAATTGTATGATCTGAAGTTGGGAAGCGTTTGAGATGGAAGTTGGTATTGGACCAGTAAAAGAATTGGCATTGAGATAGATACTTAACAAATTGGGTAGGCCATGACCAAAATTTGATGGAAGATTTCCATATAGAGATTATTTCCTCCAAAAGACATAAGATTGAGCATTGAGAGGTTAAAGATGCCTAATGGTATAGTACCAATCAAGTTGTTGAATCCTAAGTTTAGACTCTGCAGATTGGATAAGCTGCTGAGCTCTTCTGGTATTGCAACTGCGCAATATAGTATTCATCTAGAGTTGTAAAGCCACCACATTTTTCCTAAGGGAACTTTTCCTTTAAAGTAAATCACTTATGTTAGCAGTTGTTAACTCGACATAAAATTCGATCCTCTAAAACTCAAAAATAACCACTTAGAAACTTGACAAAAGAAATGATGAAAATAGTGCAACCTACCTGTTATTTGAATTAAGGTCCAAGTATCTTAGCATTGTTAAATTGGCAATCCATTTTGGTATTGGACCTGCAATTTGAAAATTGAAACAAATGTAAAGACTAGTAACTAATAAGAAATTTGGTGAACGAAACACTGTTGAGCGACTTCGTAAAAGTACATGTCGTAATCATACATTTCCTTAACACAAACACTACGTATCTCATAATTTTGTAGCCGGATCTAGGAGTAAAGAATAGTAGCTTTGAAGTTCTCGATAAACCTCAACAGGTGTGAGAAAATTTAAGCAAACTGGAAGTTAGGTCACCATAAATTTTTGAAATTGTATATTTTGCTGTTAAAAACCTATAGATGAGTGTGGAAAGTACACTGTCTCAAAATTACTGTCTTAATTTGAAATTTTATTTTTAATATAATTTGAACTAAAATTAAAAATTTAAAGTGTACAATAATTTCCGGGCGGAGAAAATACTACGCACGAAGTAGATAGATTCCGACGTTTTCATCCAATATTGTAGGAAAATGTCTTTTCAACTCCACTGAATATGAACATCAAGCGCTTTAACAAATGAACAACACCGCTGACAGCTGAAGACAACATTAACATACGAACGGCCACAACTTTGGACCAATCCCGTAGATATTTGCATGAAAACAAAATGCAAAGCGTTTGAGTTGAATCGCATTGGATAAGTTTTTGACTTTTAATAATCCGGATATTTTTGTCCTGTCCAATTAAAAATTATAAGTCATTCTTTACTGAACTCTTTAGATTACGACATTACATTTTTTTTTTTTTTTAAGTTGTGACAAACACTGCAGCGTCCCAAAAAATTTTAACCGGTTTTCTTACTGATTTGATATGACCTCTTATTTTATTTTTTTGTCTCTGCTTCTTAAATTCAACTTTAAGCCAAGGTAACCAAGAAATCCATCAAAATATGAAACATGAAGACCATACTGAAGATTAGATAGATCTTACCAGTCAAATGATTACTCGCAAAATAAATCAACTCCAGCTTCTTCAGCTTCCCAATGCCTTCAGGACTGGATCCATTAAACTGGTTCAAAGACAGGGACAACTCCCTGAGTTCCTCACATTGGCCTATGCCGGTCGGAATTTCACCGTAGAAGTTGTTTAAAGACAAACTCAGGGAACTCAGACGAGGAAGATTATCACACATGCTCGCCAGAATATTCCCAGACAACGCATTCCCGACCAAGAACAACTTCTCCAAGGAAGAAATGTTAAAAATCCCTCTAGGAATACTTCCCTGAAGAGAATTGCGTGCAAGATTAATTGTTGTCAGCTTTGAACTGTTTGATGAAATGGAAGGTGGAATAAGCCCACGAAAGTTATTGTTTCCGAGATACAATACTTGAAGTTCCGGAAAGGAACCGATCCAATTTGGAAGCGCTCCGGTGACATTATTGACGGCTAAATCAAGCACCCTCAACCGGCGGAGACGGGATAATTCAGCTGGGATTTCGCCGTGGAAGTCGTTCTTGCTAATGTTTAGAGAAACAAGGAATGATAGGTTCCCGAGTTGGGGAGGAATGTTGCCGCAAAGATTCATCTGTGAAAGGTTTATTGCCGTTACTCTGTGGTGACGGATTGGGTCGCAACTGACTCCAATCTAATTTCAGACTGGAGATTGTGTAGACCAATTTTGAGCAAGGATCTCTAAAGGGTCTGATGAATGAAATGTGTCATTTCGGGCAAGAAGGGCGAGTTCATCGGTGTTAATGTTGATTTCGGCCATTGTTGAAGAAATTGAAAGTAGAAGAAGATGAAGAAATGATGTCAGGCGAAAATGATGTAGAATTCTCTCCATGATTGATTTGCTGTATGTAAGCGAGGGGGAGATAAAAGGATCCCATATTTGTACATACTCTGGGTGATCACTGTTCTCAAGAAGATCGAGCAATATTGTATTGACTTTGACTAGACCTCTTACTATAAAGATAGATATATGAGCTATCTAGGTCAACCTTGAATTCATTGTTCCGAGAGATAAAACTCTTTCAACAACAATGTTATAAATTTAATATGATCTTTAAAGTTTTGATTTAATATTTCAACTTTGTACGTTAGAATCGATTTTCAGTTTATCCTCAAAATCGAACTCTGGTGAATTCGCTCTCCTCTTTATCCGAACAAGTTGTGATCCCACTTTTAAGTTAGTCAGTGGAATGGTTTCAAGCTTTCAAGTATAAGGTGCGTAGTATCTAAGGAAAATAACTTTTTGTTGAGTTGAGCGATAATTTTAATTTCAGCTCAGTTCACATGGTTTTCAGGGGAACGAAGACGCTGGCTTCTCCTATTTCTTCTTTTCGCGCTTCTCTTTTGTTATCTTATTAACTAGATGTATGCCCGTGCAAAGAAGGAATTAATATTTTATTATTATAAGAAAATAGAATAATGTATACATGGTAGTATAATAGTATAAATATCAATGAACAAGTTTATATTCAGATAAATTTGTACCATTCATCTTTTTATAATTGTATTAAAATTTTGCACAAATTATATTAGTGATAGAGATATAATCACACAGATGAAAATTATTAAAACAAATGTATAAGAACAATAATTTTTACTATATATATCGTTAAGAACACAAAATATTATATTATTAAACAATAATGCAATACATTAAAAATATTACATTTTACTCTCTTTTTTACAAAATTTTATTAGTAAAATAAATATATATTCAAATTTGAAATTAAAGTCTTTCAAAAATATTGTATGGATAGTTCAACACGATTTGCCTCCACAAATGGTTTACTCAATTTCTTAAACATTTCTTCTCAACAGGATTGAATAAAAAATATTGATTGCTTCCTTCCCTTAAAATGATAAAATCACCATTAATAAATGACTTGGGAGCTAAAAAAATGAATCTTTGCCAAAGATCCAGTAAAGAATGTGGGAACGAACCACTATCTTTCATGGAAACACCAACTCCCAAGTTGGTCTTGTACGTTTTTTCTCCACTCCCATTCACCATAAACATTCGTCGTCCAAATCCATAGATGAAATTTTCCTGACCTGCAAATCAACTCTTCATTTGTTAGACAAAAGGTTCCCTGCAGGTTCAAAATATTATGCGCATAATTTTCAAAATTTCGATCCTGGTTGAAACCTTTAACTGTTACCTCTAAGTCATTTGTTAATTGTAGTCGTTCTAAACTGAGTTTACCATTATGAGATTCCCCTAACGTACATGCGCAAGTACTTAGTTGATCAGACTACACTCAAGGTTAATTCACACACTATAATTGGGCACACTTACATCATTCAAATGTAAATTTAAAGTATTTTCACGTAGAAAGAGGGATTTAACCTCAACAAAGACTTAACTACTCAGAATATGTATTCTAAACACAAAATTCATGTAGAACTTATCATAAAACATGACTACATAGCAAAAGAGAGCAAACAGAGAGCTAAAGAAGTAAGTTTTTGCAGAAACGCAAACCATAAAAAGCGAGTTGGAATGCCACTCACCTGAGTGTCTGTTTCTATGAAACTTCCTAAGAAGCTCTCTTGCAGAACTCTCTTCTACTCTCTACTCAATTAAACCCTAAATTCTCTACATTAAACTACGCTTCTTCTCTGCCTCCTTTGTAAATGGTCACCGCTTCTTATTTTTTAGGCAGCAGCAGCCTGCGATTATTGTTAATATTCAGCACGAAAGCCTGCTTTCAAGGGAATCTAAGACGTTGCTTTTTCAACTTAGACCTTCAGGCGTGATTCCAACTGCTCCATCTTTTTCTTTTGCTGATTCTTCAGGAGCACAACAGCCACCTAGGATGGCTCTTCCTTGGCCTCTACAATTTGCTCCAAAAATATAAGAATTCAGGCCAAGAAATTAGTCCTAAAGTTTCCTAGCAGCCTTTCTCTGAAGTGGTCCCGGAAATGTCTCTCGCGTATTGCATTTTCAATCCAATCGCCGATCTTTTGCCTTCTTGCAATTATTACATTTTTTTTGTTATTTGTAATTTAGTCCTCGATCAGAAGAAAGTACAATAATTAGTTATAACTATACAATTCCTATCTAATTAATGTATATTACAATAGGAAAGTGACTAAAAACTATGATTATAAAATGTAAATTTAACACTCATTAACAGGTGACCAATAATTTTTCATCTCACATTGTTTTTCATAATACCAAATTTAGTGATCGATGAATACAACACCCCTATCAATAATTGTATTCTAAAATTTTGGCCATATAATCTTTCTCACAGAAGTTTGAATTTTGTTTCCTTCAACACATATTAAGAGATTAATAAGAGCATTTAAGTTGTAATATGAAATATCATTTCATCCAATGATTTATTCTAATTAAGTTATACATACATACTTCTTTATCAATGAAAATCATATCAACAAATAAGAAAAATAATTCAGATTTTTAAACATAACCCTAGAGAGGTTAGTGGTTTGAATTTTCAATCTGCAGTTACCTTTCAATGGGCTCACATCTTCAATAAAATTTGCAAATTTATAAATTAAATATAAATACATACTTAATTCGTAAGTAACTTTAAATTCATAAATTTCTAATATGTGATGCAAATGAATATATGCGTGTGGCGAAAAATAATTTTTTTTTTCTTCCTAAACAAAAATTTGATGCCAACGAATTTTAATTAAGTTAACTTTTATGTTAATTTTATGAAACTTATACGACATAGAAAATGATAAAACTTGATATTGCAAATTCATAATCTATATAACATAGATAATGCAATACATTAACAATATTACATTTTACTCTTCTTTTTACAAAATTAGTATAATAAATATGTTTGATACTTAAATAGTGTAAAATCTACATTGGAAAATGAATTTCAAAAGTTTGACACATAATTAAGTTATTTTTCAAATGCTAAACATATTTGACCATTGATAAAAACCATACAATGATAACAGAAATTAATGGTGAATAATCATGAAATTAAAAAAAATTAATACTTCACACAATTCAAGACAACAATTATTTGAGTTTGAAAAATACTTCATAGAATAATGACATTTATTTTAATAAAAATGTGTAGTCAATACTGAAAATAGTAATGTCAATAAATTTAACAATAAATAATGATGAAAAAATACATTCAACATTGGAAATATAATTTTCAATATTTGACCATAAACATTCCACACCGAACAATTCAATTCTGACCAGTCTTGAATTTAGGTTTTAGAAATTACTTTTTTTTAGCAAAAAAAGAGAAACTTACCAACAACCCAACTTAGTACATTTTGGGGGAAAAACTTTTAACGTCATCTTAACACGTGTATTTTTTAGGAGGGAAACTGTTTTAGGAGGTTACAACAAAAACTTCCAACAGAAAGGAAAAAGTTCATATCATCAGTATACATATCCCAAAATGTGCACATCATTTCAGTTTTCCCATTATAAGTAATGAAGAGTAAATGTTAAAATAATCAAATTTAGAACAAATTGTCAAATTGAGTACATGTTTTTTTTTTTTTAACATAAGGTGATACTTAGTTCAGATCTTTGAACTCCACGTTCATTTTTCACATTTCCTTACTATCCTTTTGATGGCAAAGAATACCACTTTTTCAACTATTTCGCCAATAACATATACATGGACAATTAAAAAATGATATATTAAATTGTAAAAATTTATAAATATTATTCTAAACCCCTAACCATCTCGGATAAGTAAACCCAATTGAACAATATGATAATAAAATGAAATTATATTTTTACCAATTATAGTATTGACCTTAATACTACAACTAATTATCTGATCAAATGAAATAAAATATAACCCATGAAGAGATATAAAATCCATATTATTGCAAGATTTCGCAATGTTGGCTTGAATCCGATCTTGTATGGATATTCAACCATTTTGTACTTCCATTGCTTTCCAAAACTCCAAATTTCAAAAGAAATATAATTTCACTTTCAATGATGACGTTTTGAAATTTAGTCATCAAATTATTCCTCGATCAAGTTTGAATCTTGTTTCCCTACACAAATACAAAGCATTTAAAAATATCGGACAATTTTGAAAATATTATCACATGACGTGTAATAATATTAATGAATGAATATATATTAATTTACCTTTTCATCAATGAATAACATTTCAACAAAAAAAAAAGAAATTATTCAGATAAACATTGGAGGCTGCCAAATGTGAATGATGCGAACTTTCAAACTACAATCACTTTCAAAAGGCCCACGTCTTCAACAAAATTATATGAATCTTCCATCCTGGAAACATAAATTAAACTGAAAATATCAGTCAACTTAATTTTGAAATCATGAATTTGCAATATGTAATGCATATTACAATAATGGCAATATCATTGAAATCTTACTTTTATCTCCTTCGGAACAAATTTCGTCTTGAGACTCAATGTTAATGATGATCTTCAATATTTTTTACGCTTAAATAGTGTAAAATCTACATTGGAAAATGAATTTCAAAAGTTTGACATATAATTAAGTTATTTTTTAAATACTAAACATATTTGACCATTTATGAAAACAATAAATGGTAATAGAAATCAATGATGAATAATTATGAAATTAACTAAAACATTAATACTTCACACAATTCAAGACAAAAATTATTT